GTGTGTGTGTGTGTGTGACACAATTATCATATCGACTTTTCTCACAGAGTAAAGTGATAAAAAAAAAATGTTACGTCTTTTCTCGAGTAATCGGATATTTACGACACCTGACGAGTGTAAATGCAAATAATGAATAAGCTACAAGATGCAGATGTAACGATTGACAAATTGTAGTGAAAGTGTCTTTCTTTTTTTTCTACTTCATACTTTTCAATTGTTAAGAATATCGTGAAAACCACGTAAAATTCTTTCTAATTTTATGATCGATCAATTGGTTTTATCGCTACTATTTTGTTTTTATACGGTAACACATTTAGCTACAACGTATGTACTATCACTTACTACTTTTGATAAACTCTGTGAAAAGCAACGCCCCTCCGGATTGTCCGATAGATGTATTCCGCCTTTTGTAATTATTTGCACACAGGCTTCATAGTCGATCAAAAATAATAATGTAATAATTATAACTTTTCTCTCTCTCTCTCTCTCTCTCTCTTTGTTTCTCACACCAGGGCTCAATGTCTTGATAGATAGATGTTGGTTTGGGCGGTAGCAGTCCTAAGCATCGCAATCGAAAAGATAAATCTAAGGACTTCATTTCTTCTTATTTTTGTTGTTTGCACCCCGTGGTGGCGTAACAGGCCGTCCAGCGTTCAGACCACCATAAGTGAATTTTCTCTTATCGGCCGGTTTTAAAATTTGGAAACTGCACATGAGAGTCTCATCCACTGACATCATGGCACCTGCATTGTCAAACTCGCCGCAGTAGTTCGGAGCCGAGAACAACGTCACTAACTGTCGTTTGGCAAAAAATTCATAACCATCTTCCACCACCTGAAGAATAATTTGCAATTTAAGAATCATCAAAATTTCATGTGAAAAAGGTATATCAGAGTATAATTAAAAATATTTTTACCTGATGCGCACGGCATATAAGATCAAAATCATGCTTGTGTAAAAACTTGGCAACGACTTCTGCGCCGAAAGTGAACGATACACCGCGATCATTTTCGCCCCAACCCATAGTGTCTTTATCGGGATCAGACCACAATAAATCGCAGAGCAATCCCTGATCAGGTACATCTGTCGGCCGCATGATACGTCTGATCTGCTCCATGCTTTGCAGATCCGGACTCAAGCCTCCATGGCAGCAAAATATCTTCTCATCTACTATCGCAGCAACAGGTAGACAATTGAAGCAATCAGTAAACGTTTTCCATAGTTTAATGTTGTAACGACGTTTACCTAAAACATAATTTTATTTAGTGATAAAATAACACACAAGATAAACTAATAACAGTGAAAAGAATATCACGAGAGAAAATATTTCGTGAAATACTCACATTCATCATAAAATCCATATATCCTATTGATGGATGCACATTCATGATTTCCTCTTAACAAGAAAAAATTTTCTGGATACTTGATCTTATAGGCAAGAAGGAGACAAATAGTCTCCAACGATTGTTTCCCTCTATCAACGTAATCTCCTAAGAAAAGGTAGTTGCTTTCAGGAGGAAAACCACCGTACTCGAACAATCGCAACAAATCATAATATTGTCCATGTATATCACCTTAAAAGAAATTGCACAATATCATTGATAAAGTCGATGTTACTAAATGTCACTGCCAATATTATATAGATATAACTTCTCCTGAAATCATAATTTGATACAGTTTGATAAACGTTTATTTACTTACCACATATTTTCAATGGTGCTTCTAGTTCTAAAAGGATGGGTTGTGATAAAAAGATTTCACGTGACTTGAGACACAATCCTCTAATCTCCACTTCTGTTAACTGAACATTTTTTCCTGGTCTTGCTCCTCGTACTGAACGATAGAAAAAGAACATTTATGTAAAAATCATATGTACTGTGATTGTAAATCTTGTTTTATTTCCTATCTTTTTTCTAACATAATTACTAAAATCTTTTGATAAAAGAATAAAAAAGAGAATAGTATTAAACATCTTTTTCTTAATTATTCCTGTGTTATAACATTGTAAATATTATCTGCCATAATTTATTTCCTTATTTTTAATATTTTTTTTAGAAGCATAACTACCTATATGCAAATAAGAGACTAAACAAAGTCATATTTTTTAGAAATATATAAATATATACATACATATATATATATATCAAATGTGGAACATATTAATCTCATATTGTTATATCACAATCTATACCCATATTGTAACGTAAAACTTGAGAGACTTTACAGAACTGAACATTTAAGAAATACGATATTCCAAAAGATAATGTAATACTGATATAAATAAGAATATTATCTTAAAGAGGAAGGGGGGAGGAAAGAGAGAAAGAAAGAGAGAGAAGGGGAAGAGAAAGAGAGGTATTGCTTCATTTGAACCGCTTTTTTCCCCGCTTATAATGGATGGATCCTAAATTCCAAAGTAATAAAAACATGACAAAATAACTTGGCTATAAGACAATACTGTCCTAAGTACATTATAAATTACAAGATTCTCTTCACGAAGCTAATCGTCTCGCCCGACTTCGTCGTATGGCTGGGAGGACCTCGCCCAGAATCGCGACAAGGCGTATACGCGTACGTTTGTATTGTCAAACGCGCGTGCCGTTCGACGACGAGGTCGATCAGAGCGCGGTCATCATTTTTTTTTTTTTTTTCGAGGACATTGCGTAACGCCGATGAGACAGAGATAATAGTCGGGATAACATTTCGATATGCTCTTGAGTAATGAGCGAGGTAATGTGCATGCGCGCGCGCGCTCGGTGTGTGTGTGTGTGTGCGTGTGAGGGGGGGAGGGGGAGGAGGAAACCAAAGAGCATAGCAGGTATGTACCAGCAAAGAAGAGCGAGGAAAATCGCGAAAGCGAAGGATACTCGCGGAGACGAAGGGAGTGACGGGCGAGCCGAGCGAGCGAGCAATGTTCGCCGCGTTGCGTCGCGCTCCTTCCTTCCCCCCCTCCCCCCCTCCCCCCCCGGTCCTCTTTCACTTCCATGTAACGAGCAGCGAAGCCGAGCAGCGTATACGGCGATCGACCAGTTTTACCTTCTAAGAGACGAGCTATGATGTTGTCAATGTTCAATTTGTCGGTTTCAGCCATCGGGCCGGAATGTCGTGCGCGTCCCGAGGTTTACACGGGGCACTTTAGTACAAAGATAAACGTCGGTCCACCGAAATTTCTCACCCGTGTGCCGCACGACACGGTATCACGCACCCAGCTTTGTACAAGTTATTCTGAGTTATTTGCAATGGCCGTCCGCGGAATCGCGCCGCGTACTCCACTCCTCCAACCTTCCGCTCGCGTCCCTGCTATTTCCCCTACACGTATTCCCTAAGAATCCCTGACGGTGACACTACACCGCCTGGTATTGTACTCGCTTCTAATAGGGTGCAGTCGTGTTGCCGCTACAAATGCTTTGAAGCATTTTTTGATTGGCCAGTTAATAAAATTCTTCTTTCTGATTGGTCAGTCAAGTGCTTCGAAGCATTCGTAGCTGCAACTCGACCAACTTGCGGGATTCTCTAAACATTTTATCGATGATTGTCGAACGTTAACTAGCGACAGCCAATGGCAGGACAATCATAAAAGAAAGCGCGGCTCTCGCTAGTTAATGGGCGAGTTCAAGACGGCAAAGCGGCTAGGTATGCTTGCCGAGCGATTGAATATAATTGGTTATTACTTATAGATCCAACCAATCATACTCGATCGCTCGGCAAGCGTACCTAGCCGCTTTGTCGTCTTGAACTCGCCCAATGATAACAACAATTATCGAAAAAAACGTTTAGAGAATCCCGCAACACATCGGGCACTTCCATAATTGCATCATTCTAGGGATATTAGTGGTATAGTGCAAAAAGTACCAAACCTGGTACTGGTACTGGTAACCTTGGATTGCAAGTATATTTTGCCGCGCAAATTATTTAAAGTCGGTTCTACATTATTTGCAAGCCGATCGCAAGTTCGTTGGGACAGCCAATCTCAAGCTTGCATTTTGAAATCAACACTTCAGATTGGCTGTCCCAACAAACTTGCGATCGGCTTGCAACTAATGTAGAACCAGATGGACATACGTACATGAATTGTTATGATTTTGTGATTTTAAGACGAATATTTGTACCGTAAAGTTGCAGTACGTATAATTTAGAATTACCGATACTTCGCTACAAGGTGATGTCATGCGTGTTTTGTATAATAAAAATAACGCTTAATAATACATAATTAGTCATTCAATTGCAACTCAAATTCTCTTTTTACACCATTGATTCTGAGTTAACGTTATTCGATATGTAAGTTTTGTCTTAAAGGAAAATTATTTTCATTTCCGTCGTACATCATTGAAATAGTATATCTTTGATACATTTTGTTATTGAAAAATAAATACACAACATAAACATGGAATAATGTTTTCTTATCAAATTGAAAAAAAATGTAAATTTGTTATTTATTTTTGATAATTCTCTATACCTATAATACATTTTCCTAAACATGCAGTCGCACATACTCACAATTATCACTTACTTTTTACATTTTTAATGATAATTACATTTATTGTCATTTATAAAATATTACACTTATTGATAAAATTTTTTTCAACTATTTTAGACTATTGTCGTAAAATGATAGAATCTAATCACAGTGATACTGAGGAGGAAAATATGGATATACTACAATTATCATCTGATTCTATAGATAATACATCAATGAAAAGACCAAAAGTAAAATATTCTGAGCATGAAATAGATTCACCTAAAAAAAAGCAATGTTCATTTAATGAACAGTTAGATAATATATCAGAAAGTGATAACTCTGGAACTATTTTAGAGAAAAATGATACAAAGGTATGTTTTATAAAAGTAGAAAAATTTTGTCCAGAAGACCAGCAAAATATACAAGAGGCATCACAATTAGAATTAGATATATACAAAAAGGCTAAGGAGGAACAAGGAAGTGATTCAGAGCAAGAAAATGAAAAACATATTAGATATACACAAAAAGGCTAAGGAGGAACAAGGAAGTGATTCAGAGCAAGAAAATGAAAAACGAGATGAGATTAACATTACTTTAAAAGAAATCCTAGAAAAATAGATATTAAAGAGGAAATTGTAGAAAACATGGTAATTATACGTGGTAATTAAGTTGCATTAGCAACTTAATACAAAATTTAGGAAAATTGATTCTCTTATATATCACTCTTATTTATCATATATCTTATTTATAGTATAATGTCTTTCTATTACAAATTTTATAGCTTTTAGCTACATTTTTTGTCTATTTTCCTATTTATTATTTATTAGAGATACCTAACGGTATCTATATCCGTAAAAAATAAAATAAAAGAATTTATTTTAAATGACGAGGAGGGTGGCAATTATTACGCCCGATAGAAACAATTTTTCGCGGTATAGCTTATGCGTCTATCCATATTTTATAGAACATACAATAAAAAGCTTTGAAAAAATTTGAGGAGTTTCATCAAATATGAATAAATATAAATGCAAAACATTAGCTCTGTGTAGGTTTAACCATTTTTATAAAATTAATTCCCAAAATTTACTTTGAAAATAAGTAATCACACTAGAATACTTCCTTAAACATGAGACATTTTGTTTAATAGCCGAGTTTTTAATATCCATACAATAAACAGATTATCATGTAAATTTTATATATAATGAATTGTTTTATATAATAAATTGTTCTTAATTCTAAAAATAGGATAATTCATCCCAAAAGCTTATTCCAAGTGCAAGTGCGATGTCTATTCCTGAAAACGAAGAAGAAAGAACAGGAGGTAATGAGATTAAAGAAATTGACAAAACAATAGAGACAGCGGAAAATAACAAGGAGAATAAAATGACAAAACGACACATTGCTAAGAAATATATTATGGACACAGAAGTGATAAACGGACTGGAGCTTTCGGTGGAACGTGCGAGTGATGAAGAATCCAGTTCTGACAGTGAAAACGAAAAAGATGCTAAGCCACGACCAAAGACAATAATCGAAAAGGCTGAGCCAAATGAATCAGAATTAGACTATTCATCAGAAGGAGAAGGAAAGTCTGATGATTCGCAAACTGACTCGTTCAAGATATCGCAAAAAAACAAGGCGAAAAGAAAAATCTCGCGAAGAAGTTTTAATATATTAAAGACTTCTGAATCAGAAGATAATCAAAATAGTAATTCAGATGAAACTTATAATCCACGGACAAAAAAGAAAATTACAAAATCTCCAACTACGAAAAAATTAACCGACAAACATCGCTCGGGCGAATCAAAAAGAGGACGAGGTAGAGATATAAGAAATTCTCACAAAAAAAGTACTAAATATGTATCTGATGATGAGAATACAGCTACAGCAGAGAAAGCTAATAAAACAGTTCAAATTAAGAATGGACAGGAGGAAAAATTATCGGATGTGGAATCTTCGAAAAGTGAAAGTGACAGTAATTCTACGGAAGAGAACTCTATGAAAAGTAAAAAGGGAAGAAATAATGCTGTAAGTTTCTATCCAACAGATAAATCCTACAATAATACACTCACATTACACATAATGTATTTTTCTTACAAGATGTTAAATTTTCAGATAGAAAATAAACAGATAAAACAGATAAAGTATCTAAAAAAGTGTTTATCCTTTCTTGGTGTGAGATTATATTATCGCGCTTTTACTGATTGTCGGACTCTTACTGCACAAATTAATCGTCTAAAGGAAATAATAAAGCAAAATGGAGTTCATGGTAGAATAACGTTTGCAAAATGTAAACGAGCAAGAGAAGAGAAAGCAAAGATGAAGGAGGTATCTGAATTGGATAAGTCAAACATTATATCTGAAGGTTAATATTATAGTTTTCTTGTCAATCTATGTTACATTTATTTATTTTATAATAGACATTGTGCACAACATTAAATTTGTTTTTATTTCAGGACGAATTACGCGCGCACGAAGAAATAGGAATAATGTTGAAAGGACACTTCCAGACACATCACCGCGAAGTCGAGAGTATAAGAAATTTAGCCGTATTCAAACTGTTATTGATAGTGATTCGGAGTAGAGAACATAGCATATATAATGTCAATATTTACATATATTGAAACATCAACAGGTGTCAATTGTCCTGTGTGCACATTATTGTGTGTGTGAAGCTGATGTATCATTTCGTGGAAACTCATTAAATATTAAGAGTGAATGTATTTTTAATAATTCTATAGTTCTAAATAAAACTAATAGTTTTGCCCTTTAAAGCGAAAAAAAACAGACGCCAGGTTCACACACGTACACGTTCTATGTCCTATGTTGAATGTTTTGTATTTTCATATTCAATTATCTTTTTTATTAATATTATAGTGGGCTATCAATCATATAATTTTCATGTACTGTGTATTAGGTTAATAATATTGACGAAACGCAGTAGTGGAAGCCGGGACGAAACGCCAAACATTACGTGATATTCTTCGCAATATAGAATATATTATCAGATTTAGATTGACTCTTATTCGCCATTCTCAACGTATTAATTATTGTTTGTAAAAAGAGTCCTTTATTTCTTCAATTATTTGTTAATAATATTGATCAGTGATGTGAGTATGTCGAGCTATCTTCTCTAGCAAACATTATATTTATCAGTATGTTGGGCTTTCTTCTCTCTAATAGGTATTATATTTATAATAACGGAAAGCTAAAAAATGTTTATTTCTATATATTGACTTGTTATTTTTATTTCTACTTAACATAAGTTATTGATAGTGTAAAGCTGGGCCGAGAAAAAATGTCGGACTCTCGACGCGATGTTAGGACTCGAACCGAGTACCACCTCGAATGTAGTTCAAAACACAAAGCCACCGCTTTGCCGCGGAGCCACACAGCCCGACACGTAGATCTTAATTGATATCTTACAATAGCTTGTATACAAAGATGATTTTAGGATTTGTGTAACAACTTTTGGTATATATAATGATAAATTTTAATGTATACGTATAAATAAGAAAAAAGACTAAAAGTAAAAAAAGAAATTCTATCATATTTATATTATCGATTGATTAAAATGACTGACGCAGTTTGTTTAAATGAAAAAATTATATTTTTAAGTACATATTAAAAACTGATGTGTAGCGTATAATATATAGATTAAAAAAAAGCAATTTATTTGTCATCAAATCTATGCGCAGCTTCAGCTAGTAATTGAAAATGTGCAATTAAAAAGGATCAATCAAAGATGTTATTCTTTCATATCTTCAAATATAATTGTAAAAAATAACGAAAAGATATACTATTTTATTATATCCCTTTCTTCCGTCTTCAATACCAAAATGCACACAACTAAAAATTACTAGACAATAAGAAACCATACATTTGACTTAATAAACAGGAAATAGGAAATACTATAAATACGGTCGAAGCTAGATCTTTAATGCTTAAATAATTTAATGTTAATTATATATATATATATACACACATACGAGTAGTATATATATATATATATATATGTATTTATGCATTCATATCTTTTGAACTTCGCGCCAAAAATTTTCTCGCGGCACTGTTCCATTCCGCCGTAGATTTCCGCTTCATGGAACGCCGGTCTAGATGTTTCTAGACCGGACCGGACCATATATACAAATGGTATAGGTAAATACGTACGCGATTGTCGTAGATTGTTGGCGATCATAAAATTTCCTTCAGCATTTTATAGTTTTTTAGCCATCATCATCGATAAAAGATGCCGGAGAACGTGGTACGTATATACATGTTTTTTTACAAGATTTTCCTTTTTTCATATTTTTTATTTAAAATGAAATTTAGATCGATCGATTAAGTACTAATCGTAATTGCGTTGCGGACGCAATAGGTTATATCGCTTATTATTTCAAAATGAGTGTGTTTTGGATATAGATGTTGTATTTTCTTCGATAATATAATTTTAATTTCAATTCTTTTACAATCTTTCTCGTGTATGTGTGGAAAAGAATATGAGAATTAATTGTTCTGTCTTCACACACACACATTTTTTTAGACTTAGTAAAAATTTTATATTTTTTGAGTGAACTTTTACTCAAATTGGAATATTTCATAAAAGTAAAAGACAAGATTTTTTTTCTTTTAAGCTAAATGGTGATCATGTTGACGTAAATCGTGAACCTCAAGATAATGATGAAGAAACTATTGAAAGCGATGTCCAGTTTGAACCTATAATTTCATTACCCTTGATAGAGGTATCCAACAATGAAGAGGACGAGATAGAAATGTTGAAGCTGTAAGTTAATAAGAATTTTCATTTGTAAGGATTGATATACACAAGTATGTTTTTTGTAATTTTTAGACGGGCAAAGTTATATCGTTATGATACGTCAAGCAATCCAGCAGAATGGAAGGAACGTGGTACTGGAGAGGTTAAACTATTACGACATAAAACAAAAAATACGGTTAGAGTAGTCATGCGTAGAGATAAAACTCTTAAGATTTGTGCAAATCATTTTATTACTCCATGGATGGAGTTGAAACCAAATTGTGGCAGTGACAGAGCATGGGTTTGGAGTGTACTTGCCGATTATGCTGACGAACAACTGAAGCCAGAATTACTTGCGATACGTTTTGCAAATGCTGAAAGTAAGCACTTAACTGCTATATTATAGTCTTTATATATAATGCTGAACCATTAAATAAATTCTATTGTTAATAATAGCCATGGGTATCGCAATAATATTATAGAATTTTCATGTCATTTCACTTGTTTGTGATAGATGCATCAATGTGGAAGGAAGCGTTTGAAAAAGCTAAAAAGATTGTAGGATCCGAATGTGAGATTTATGCTGGCAAAAGCAATTTGGAACAAAAGCATATTGAAAGTGACAGTGAATCCAGCAGTGATGTAAGTTATAGCGAAAGTACTGACAACGAAGATCAAACAAAATCATTCAAGAGGACTGAAGACTGTGACGCAATTTCTCAGCAAAAGGGTATCAACAATGAGACGACAGAAGACAAACAAGTAATAATAAATGAAGAAAAAATAATCAATGAAATTGCAAAGTTAAAAGTGAAAAATGAAGGTGAGAAGCAATAATTATATTTAATGATATGTAAAAACATACATGCACACATATATGTGTGTGTGTATGTGTGTATGCGTGTGTGTGTAATATAGTTTATCAAGATACATTCTGACAGTATGATAGACATGTCATTGTTTAAAGATTGAACATGTATGTGTATGTATATACATATATAGGTGCATTTTTAGCCATAATTAAGGAAAAGCTTATTAAATTTCACAGCGATAAAATTGTACTTTTACGAATATATCTGTGATTTTTTTAACTTGACACACACAGGCACACATATTTCATATTAAATTAAATTCATGTGAAATTGCATTTGTACTGGAAAAAATGTGTTTGAGGGAATGTATGTTGATTCTCTGGCGAGAAACGAATAAATACAACGACAACGTTTTACGAACAAACAGCCTTTTACTTTTTATTTGTTCATTATTTCAATTATCAAAGATTTGTTCATTATTTTATTTATCAAAGATAATTTATGTGTTATATCACATGTTTCTTCATAGTTAATGATTGCGCAGTACGTTTTCCTTAAGAAGAGTTAATAGTATGTGTTGAGAAAGTATAATCGATATAAAATTGACCAATTTATCTAGTTTATATATATATATGTATGTATATGTATATATACAGGGTGTCCCCACGAGATTTCTCCAATCTCACACAGGAAAGTAGATAGGATCGAAATAAATACAAGTCTTGCCAAGCGACGACACGCTTCCCCTCTTGCCTCTCTAATCGCGCTGCCACCGCAGCCATATTTGAAAAAGTGGGCCGGGCTATACTTCGTGCGGCCGCAGCGTTTCTCAAAACGGATTCTCTTGTTAGTACAATTTCAAAAATTAATACCTGTATTAATATTGCGAGAATCGCTAAACACACACAGTATAGGATTTTTGTATTTATTTCGATTCTGTGGAAGATTGGAGAAATCTCGTGGGACATTTTGTATATACATATAACTTCTTAATCCACAACCGATCAACTTTTCTATAAAGAATATTTTTAATTTTTTGTCTATTGCACATTTTATGTAATAGGTACTAAATATGTTTAACACACGTTCTGTCTACTGCATCCATGTAATTTGAGATTTTTCATTACTTTCTAAATTGTTATATGAAAGGAATTTGACAATTATCATTTTTATCCGATCGTTGGTTATTGGAGTCAGAAGGGACGGAGACCGGCTCAACTCCCAACGAGACTCAATTTCAAATACATTGAACAGTAAATGTATTAAATAATCGATTTGACAAACGACAGATATTCTTTTGGATACGAGAATTATGTATTTTTAGTATTTATTGCCTTACTTTATATTCATTTGTATTTTGTGTGAAAAAATGAGAACAAAAAAAAATAATTGTATGAAAAAATAATCAGTCATTTTGTATTTTGCACTAATAGAGCACAAAGCGTGAGAAACATTTCATCACAGAGGAATAGACTAAGGAATGCAAAATAACAAAGTAAATATATCATTTAATAGAAAATAAGTATAATATACCGTTCTCATATGTGCGCGCGCGATTTCTATTTTTATCGCTACTTTTATAAAACGAGTGTATGAAATAATTCAAAATAGCTCAACAATCGACACTCGAATTAAAATTTGATTGCTAGATGATATTACTTAGGTGATCATTGTAAATTTTAAACGCTCTACAACTCATCCCTTGCTGAAAAAGATTGTAAGATGTTTCGTCTCTCTTCCATTGTACGTTTCTTTTGATCAGACAATTTTTCTTTATAAAGAAGACCCTGTACCCGCGTTTCTTCTGTTTGTACAAATATATCTCCTCGTTCCAGAATCTTTTCCATAGTCTTAACATAAATTTTTGCTGCCTCTCGTTGCTCTTCTGGCAAAGTTTCCTCAAAGATTCGTGCCTTCTTTAGTATTTCCTAGGAAAAAAAATAAACATATTTCATAGAGAATATTTAGTAATAACAATTTTAAAAAGGAAAAGGAATTATATTTTAATCTTTGCTTAAATATCTTCAAATAAATATGCTTGTGATACAGCCATTTTAGCACAATCAAATAAAATATAAATTGTCTTGTTAATTTTTTTAAATCCTTACCTGCCTGTTCTGCTCTCCCGTAGTAGCTTTAAATTCTTCAGCTAGCTTATCTAGTCGTTCCACACATCCTGGTAATCCTAAGTACACTCTTGATCTAGATCTGATAAATCGCTTCAAGTATTCGCCTGTAAAATCAGATTCTCTTTCAGGAGTGAATCTGATTGGTTCTGATTTGCCTTGTACAAATAATAAAACTACTGGAAAGTCATCCTTCTTAATGTTGTAACGTTGCGCTAGATCAGAATTATCCTTATTGCCAAAATCTTTCACGCCTACTGTAGCTATCAGGAGATCTTGTGAATCCTTGGTATCAGCCGCCACAGTCGCATATTGCTCGTGCTTGCCACCATAAGGAAATGCAACATCGAATTTAACGAGCACTGTCTTAAATCTGGATATAACCTGTATGAAAAATGTTTGTTGAACACATTTATAAATTCAATATTACACCAAAATATATTAACAAAATATGTACATCATACATAAAATACATAGTAAAATATTTATATCTAAATGTCTCCTATTGAGAGTGAATGTAGAATAATAGTTTCTCAATTTTTCATGTGCAATATCATAAAATATAAAAATATGTATAAAATCCAATTTAATTTTCATAAGAAATTTTATTTTATCATAATTACATCTTGTATATTTGGCATATTGGAATACATTCACAACCATAACTTTGTACATAATTATGCAAATTAAATTTCATAGCATTAAAAAATATCATAAATATCATTCTATATTACAGAATGTCAGTATTCAGTTGATTCATTGGAATTTAATAAAACCGATATCTTGGTCATAAATAAAAGATGCTTATGAATCAAAGTATAATAGTAATAAAACTTGCTAACATGATCGATGGCTGATGGTAACCATAGTAACTATGGTAGAAAATAATAGAAATTGATTGAATTTTCTTGTTCCTTCTTAATCACTATACTTTTCTCAATTACACAAAGCAAATACATCTATATTTGTGCACACATACATATGTATATATAACATACAAATGTCAAATCATGTGTGTTGTAAAATTATTTAATTATAAAATAAAGTTTTTTTTAACCATTTTTATCGTTAATTTTAATCATTAATTTGTTCAAGTTAGATACTAATAAGAACAAATAGAATTTTAAAGAATTAAATAAGTACAAGACTTAAAAGATTATAAATAAAAATTGGAGGGATAAAAGTAAATAAACTGAGCTCTGGATGCTTGTTTTAATAAACTAGAAAACAAAATATAAATATCGAAAATGTTTTGACCTACATGACGATCAAATGGATTTATATTAGTGTATTGAAGATGAAGTCTTGTGTTATAGGTCAAAACGTTTGTGATGCTTATATTGTATTTTTTAAAATGAGCATTGTCATCTAGTTTGGCTCATTAGTTTTTCTTTATCCAATTTAGATAAACAAATTTTCCTAATCTAAATTTCACACCATGCACACACGCAAGCACGCACACAATTTCCCAAAATATCAATACTTTGTTTGTATACGCAATGTTCTAAATTAATAATTAAAAGAATTTTAGTTTATAGTATATTTCATATCACACACACACACACACACACACACAAAATTCTGGATAAAATTAAAAGCTTTTCACACTTTCGTACCTTATCAAAAGAATATGAATCCAAGGGCACACATCCTTTGCAGTCATCTCCAGCGGTAACGTGCGAAGTAGCGATGACAAGAATTAATACAAGACTCGATCGAATCATGATAGGATAGGAACGTGACGCTTGTGCGATTAATTATTTCGTTCTTTTGAGTTCTGTGAAATCAGACAAATATCCTATTTTCCTTATATATAATCACATATATTCACACTCGCAAAATGCACATATGTGACACGTGAAACCGTTAACGTGTCAATTCGACGCGAACCGGCTTTGTTATGAACAGTTCTCAACCCCTAGCCCCTAGGATCTGTGTTTTGTTCCTGCACTGTCTGAACTAGTGCACATGGTGTAATAAATTGAAATGAAATAAACTGAAAAATATATTTGTTTTACTTTAAAACTTATTGCACCATGTGTACTAGTTCAGATAGTGCAGGAATAAAAAATAGACCTCTTAATTATCAAGTGATTGATTGCTCGAAATAAATGCTCACTGAGCTTATCTAAAAATCTGAGTGACAAATCCTACATTACCTTATGAAAGTCCTTTTATACATATACAGCACCTCAAAAATCGATAAAATTAGGCTTGTTCGATGCGTTTTTGCATGAAACGAAAGAATCTAGCAGAAATAAGCATCACCTCTGTCTTGCGAATCGAGATATTAAGCGTTAAAGTTAACGATTACGCAGGTTAGGAAATCTGTCATACCCGTTTGTGACCTCTTGCGCATGCGATTAGTCACTATTCCTTACAATAGTGCACGAAATTTAAAATAAAATTCAAAAATCGATTAGTCACTCGTGCAACATTTTTATTATATATAATTCCATTCCAAATACCCCACTGTCTACATGAGTTATGATCGTTATGATTTATCTTTTTCATCAACACTAATTTATACATATGATTTATTTATTTATGAATACGCAGCCCTTCTTATATTGTCATTACTAATTTTATTATTGTTGAGCTACAATGTTATTTTTGTTTGAAAGATTGAAAGTTTCATATATTTCGTAATTTCAATAATAAGATTAATTGCCAATCTTAGGATTTAAAATACAAAATACAACACACAATTGTCCTACAAATATCGTTTTTCAAATAAAAGTATTCAAATACAGCCCTTATTATAGAATCGCTACTTATATTACATGATTATAGTATTGTATAGGTATAATTACGAAAAAATTATTCTTTCCAATATGTTTTTATTTCTACTCGTAAATTAGAAAAATCGCTTCTTTTTTTGTACAGTGTATAATTTTTTCATTAACAATCTCGCGATTTCATTACTGTTTATATAAAAGGAATATTTAAGGAAAGAGGAATATTTGAAATAACACATTATTTTTCTATATAATGTAATCACGTTTGACGATAGAATCATCATTTTATAAGATTTATTAAAAATTCATTACTTTCAGTAATAATCAATTTAATGTTTATCATACATTATACTTTTAATTATCAAAATTTGTTAAAATAGTCAAGAATTTTTCATATTTCTATCATGTTATAAATAATAATAAGCCAATTTTTTTATTATTATCTCTCATATATTAAATTACTTTCCCTTTTTGTATTCTAGTCTTGGTCTCCCCTTTTTTGTGGTTGGTTTATCCTTTCCTTTATTTAGTAAGGGATGAGTTTCTGCAAATTTTATTAATTTATCAGTACTGGTATAAAAAAAATTTAGCTTTAGTGGATCCTATGTCTTTACTTTTAATATATATGAGATCTTACCGTCAGTCGGTGCTCCCTGTAAATCTATATCGTATGAACGATGTTTCTTCATTGGCGGTTCGTGTGGCATTATTTGATTATCTTCGGAATCTTCCACATCTGGAGATATAGGTAAAAATTGAAGCGAACCAATATCTTCAGTTTCTTCGTCAGAGCTGCAAAATGCAGCAACTCTGTCAATTGATGCAACGTCAACCTCTATTTCTTCATCCTGAGCTTCTTCTCCTTGAACAACAGACTTATCTTCGTCACTCAAATCAAATTCACTTTCTCTTTCTTCGTATTCAACATTTTCATCCAACTCTTTGAAATCTGGCGCGAACGCAGACCAGTTTTCTACCTGATTTTGTGCCCAAATAGAAACTACGCCTGAAGATATAGATGCGATTATCGGCCTGACTGGATGCCACTATAGAGATAGAGGGAGAAATTTCAAGACGTATATTGCGTATAATGAGCAGTTTTATCGTATTACATTTTATTTAAAAAAAATATATATATAAATTTAATTTTCTTACTACAACATCGAGTAAAAGTTCTCCTTTGGTTCCATGTAAAATTTTCACCAAATTTCCTATGCTTTTTTCCCATACGTATAATGCATGTTGTCTTGCTGATCCGGCACACACATACTCCCCATCACCAGAAAAACAACATTTTTTCCACATTGTTTTATTTACAAGATCTTGCAATTTTTGTATTGGCTCAGGTTCACCATCTTTACCACACGCTAATATTTCAGTACTATCATATACACGGATTACTCTATCAGCAGTATTAACTAGAAAACAGGAACCTCGCCGTGCAAATTCTATACTTTTTACTGCCGTGTTACTGGCAGTGCCTTGTGTTATTTTGTAAGAGGCTTTTACATTTAATGTCTCAGCGTCAAGAACTAAAACTCTACCACGAGCATTTCCTGTATACACGTAATCTCCGCGTCGATCAAATGATGCTACTATGTTTAAATCACTCTGAAATTGGAGTAACATTATTTTATTTTATTTTATACCAGCTTCAGTCTCTTATTATAAATTCAATTAATGAATCAGTTAATAGGAATACTTAAAAATAATCTCTAAAAATTTTTGTATATTAAGTATGAAAAAGATTTAATTAATCAATTTTTTAACATATTTTTCATCGACATTTTGCTAACAAAAATTGTTTCTATCAATAAGAAATAACATTTTTCTTTTATCGATTTTCACAAATGTATATATATATATAGATACATATATACAGGATAGTCCATTTTCATCAATACAGTCAATTTTCTCCAAAATTAATAATGGTACGATAAAATGTTTCAGATGAAAATGGAACGGCTTCGATGTATTTAAGGTATTTAAAGCACATAATTGTTTTAAAAAAATATAGTAGACAAAATGGATACTTTTTCAAATAAATGTGTTTTTCTTATACCAACTGATTCATCTCATTTTTCTATTCATACAAGTATTGATGCACGATTATCAACAAAATTAGTAGTTTACGAGATATTTAATATTTTGTGTCAATATGTACCATAATAAAGTATAAGAGATCTCATAAACTATTAATGTTTTGATATCTCTATCTCAATACTTTTTTATATAAAATAATTAGAAAAATTATATACAGAAAAAAATTTAATTCCACTTAAAAAAGTGTTTCATATTTTTTTGGTCTTTCCACCTCGAAAAAAATAACATGACCAAAATACGTCTCCCTCAAAGCCATCTCACTTTTATCTGAAACATGTTTGTATTATTAATTTCGAAGAAAATTGACTGTATTAGTTAAAATAAACTATCCTGCATATACACAAATAGTGTATTGTTATGTATGAATGACATTAATATCGAGAGATATATGTATGTCATTTATTACATACATCTTCATCAAGTGGTATAACTCTGTGTGCTCCTTCGACACCAACCATAACAGCAGCATGACGCATTGGACATACTAAAAACTTGTTGAGATTTCTTGGATGAAACTGTACTTTTAATATTGGAGAAGGAAATCTGAATTTCTGATCACATTCTCCAGATAAAACATCCCATATACATACATTGTTGTCGGTCGATGCACTTAGTAACTTATGACCATTTCTAGACCAACTAAGAAATATAATTGATGTTTCAAGATTTAGTATTTTACTTCTCCCTCAAATGACTTTTATTATATCATTTTTTAAGGTGGTTCTACAATAAATCGAGTTACCATAAAATGTTTAATTTTTTAATATAAGTTGAATAGAAGTTAAAGTATTGAGAGAAAGAGTGAGAGAGATATATGTGCATAATTCAAGGGTAGATTATTGATGAAATAAGAGAAACAAATGTTGAAAATGTAATTTTTAATATATAATCTGGTTATAGATAAGAGTTGGAGATGTTTCTTTGACTAACTGCACACAAACATATCATAGATTTCTCTAAAAACGAGATTATAATAGTTGAAAAAATTACAATTGTAATAATCACAAAAAAGTTATCAGCCATTCTAGAAAGATATACTATACATGTAGAAACTTGCATATAATTTTAACTTCCAAAAGTAAACATAACATCATCTATTTTTCATTTGGTTTAGATTCAGCTCTGAATTTATTATCATATGTTTTATACTATTTCATCAAGATATATTGTACATGCAGTTTTAATATAATATAATTTTATCCTAATTTTATGCAGATATTTGTGATTTATTGTAGGACCACTTTAAATCAGTCATTTTATATTTAAACTATTAAATTTACACATGCATGCACATATGCCATTATAAAATTATATTCAATTCATCTTATAGATTTACAAGTTGTCTGTAATACTTACCTCAATGAACATACTGGATGTACATGAGCACTAATAATTTTAGCTATACCACGAGTCAAAAAATCCCAAATAACAATTCTTCCATCATTACATCCGACAGCAAGTAATGTCCCTCTTTTATTAAATGTACAGGTTACAGCAAGAGATATACAATCTAATGTGCCATCAAATTCCTAATAGAAATAATCATTAAAAATGTTTACGTAAACTCCATATAAAAACATAATAATAAAATCACAATTAATATTGGAGATATACCTCTGGATAATTTTGACCAAATGACTCTGTAAGAAATATGTAATTATTGAAATATAAATAAAACAAATTAACAGTAATTATTTAAAATCGTTTCTTCAGCTCAAATTTTAATAAAAATGTATTCATTCAACATGTTTTTACTCAAACGTAAAAATCTGGCAGAAAAATATAGCTCTATCTTGCGAAACAAGATTATTAAGCATTAAAGTTAGAGATTTTAGAAGTTAAGGTGTATGTCATATTAACTAAAAAGTCGGAAATGCACGAAATAGATTGCTCTCTATAGATTTATTTTATAGGGTTTAAATTATGGGGTAATGATTTTAATTTTAATTAACGAATTAAGTAATACATCATGCAACAGTTGTAACATTTTTCAAAATTTATAAAAATTTGGACAATATAACGAAATCATATTTATAGTGACAACATCTATTTTAAAGAAATGTTAAACTTTAATTCATACAAAAGAATTAAACAAATATACATTTTAAATAACAAGCTAATATCTGTTCTAAAACAAATCCTCCGCTTTAAAAACAAATTCACTACCTTAAATCACTGCCTTAAACACATTTTCTTATATTATTTTTATATTTTTAAAGCAGTGAATTTGTGTAATTAAAGCAGAAAATATTTATTTTTAGGAATAAACTGATGTAAAGTATGTTGAAATATGTATACATAGCGCTGTATCGAGTTAACATGACAGATATCTTAACCTCAAAAATCTCGAACTTTAACGCTTAATAAGTATTTTATGAGGCAGATCACCGCGTTTTTCTTCCAAATTCCTTTTTTTAAGTGAAAACACATCGAATGTGTATATTTTTATTAAAATTTTAACTGAGGAAGATTCTAAATAATTACCTTAAAAAATTAACTTAAGACTAAAGCATACTAATTTTATTATTATTTATTAATTACACGTATCTCATAAATGTTTATTTACCTAATAGTTCCAAGTTCATTTTGACAAAATGATTTTTGTTTTTTATCCACGTTATTCACAGCTATTCACCATATTCACTATCATTCATCATTCGACATGTATGTACCTATTATTAATATTTTCTAATTTCCAACTTCTCACGTTCCCACCAATTCCACCAAAGCAACTCTAATAGGCTGCAGTTTACCTTATGTATATCGATATATGATATATCAGAGAGAAACCCGAAAAAGGACATGAGGACTTTTTGCTTGTAACCGTAAAATGCTGCCGCGCATTACTGCCCTCTGAAGGATGTAAACTATACAAAAATATCCACTTTTTTACGGCGCTCCTGATAGAAATAAATTGCTGAAATAACTAAAATCTATGAAATTAATAAAGATTTTAACGATTTTAAATTTAACTAATCTCAATTGCGCTAATCATTTTCGTATCGTTCAGATCGCATTGTTAGACTAGTTGAATCTCTCACTGCATGATCTCGAACTAGCTCGTAATCGCACTCATAAAACTACTCGTAATCGTCTGAGATTGGAACGAAATCAGCTCAAGACGTAACAGATTTCGCGTTTCACGAAATCTGTTTTATTGATTGGTCATCACACAAATACGCGATATGCGACAAATATGTCTTATGGAATTTCAGCCTAAAGCCCTGATAAATACAATGCAACAGCAATAACGATAAACAAAATGCCTATTTTTTTTTTTACTGAACTTTTGCACCAATTCATCTTTTTCCTTTTCTCCTGGAGAGAAACTCTTTTCCAGGATTAAAGTATACGCGTTAATATCTATGCGTCTATGAGGTGAAGTCTATGCTGAGAATGACAAAAAATTTCGAAATCGAGATTTTTCTTTACCCCGGATCTATAATAGATTTTTAAGCCTCATGCCATAAGAAATAATTATAGTCAATTATTCTCCTCGTATTTAACTATAATTGATCAATTTCTTACGGTTTAAGGCTTAAAACGACTATTGTAGATCCGGACTTACCATTTCTTAGTATAGTATAGCGCTCCAGAGTTGTGACAATATTTGCTTCATATAAAAATTGTGCAATTTATACATACCTACGAGATAGTAATTCATAGACTAGTAGTTCGCACGAAAAGACAACGTGGAGTTCTTAAAATTGAACTTAGGTATAAAATTGTTATACGAAAATTTATAATATATGTATGCATTATAGAAATTGATGTAATAGTATGTGTGATGTTAATGACACATATGTAAATCGTCTGTGTGTGTTATTTACAATATAATTAATCGTCTTTAGGATCCCTTTAAATGCTCAGCTCATTTCTGATTTATTTTCTAATTATCTACTTTATTATATTAAAAAGTGTCTTCTTCTATCTTAAAAATCACACTTTATTTAGAAATATTTTCCAAGTATCAGATTAGAGTTTAGAAACAAAAATTACCCTAAAAAGAGTCTTCATATGCACTTGGACAAAACTTCGTAAACTAGTGTTACTATAACTAATTGATGTAAAATAATATACTTTGTGTCAAACAACATTTGGTCAATATGTCAGATTGTCTTCTTTAGCACATGTGCGTGTAGATCAATTATATTCATAAAATTAACAGATCAATTACGTTTTATAAATGTAATGCCTGCTAAAAAAGGTAATTCGATGCAGATCCAGTTCTACAATTCACTACTTAATCGAGGTTCAACTTATTCTTCATCTCTCTTTCCAATTCCAGAAAGAAATGAGAAATAAATCTTGAGTTAAAAATTTAATTATGAGTTGTATTGAGCTGTACTGACCAATATGTTGATGGAACATGCTGTACGTGGACACTATAATTAACTGATACAAAATATTAATACATATGGACATTAAAAAAGTCAATATAAATTATAACAATCAGAAGAATTATAACAATAATTCCTATCATTAATTATGTAATTGATAAATTCTCTTTCTTTTTGTTATAAATGTTTTCTACAAACAGTTAGTGAAAAACTTAAGTCCGATTAATTTTAGTTATTTTTACATATATTCCGTCTTTTGGTGCTAATAGAAATGCCTTAGGATTGTTTATGTAAGGTATTGGAGTTTTTTCGCAAGTTTCGATTTTGTAGTTTCGTAATATCTTTACAAGTCCAACTTTACTCTGATAAACAGCGAAGCGAGAACCTAAAAATAAGAATTGATTATCTATAATAATTATCTATAAAATATATCTATATAAATTAGATTATTAGATTAATGTCTTTAAATAAAAACGGTAACTTCTTAATTGAGATTCAACTTAACCATCTTTTTCCAATTCTAGAATTAAAAAGAAATTTTTCGACTAAAAATATATTTTAACACAAAACCAAATGAAGTAATAAAATTTATTTTGTTTTACCAATACAATTTCTTGGCCCGTCGCCGAAAGGTAGATAAGTCATCGGATGTCTACTTTGCACAGCATCGTCACTAAATCTTTCTGGATCGAAAATATCTGGCTTTGGATAAATACTTGGATCTCGATGAAGCGCATAAACAGGAATCCATACCTTTTGATCTTTCGGTATAGTAACTTTGGTATCATCGAAGGTATAGCTCGATACGGATTGCCTCATAAGAAATGTTACTACTGGATATTTTCGTAAAGTTTCTGCACGTATTAAAAACAATGTTTATAAATATTTATTAATTATAAAAATGCATTTGTGTATATTTTAGACTATAATTAAATTGAAACAGATTATTAGCAGGAAATGGAAAATTACTTTTTGAAAGTAACAAGTGATAGTGTGTGTGTTACTCGAATGTGCGTTTAGCGAATAAAAAAAGTAACAAGTTATCGTTACTAATTACCGACATTTAGAAATAACTCATTACAATTACCATTACATAAAAAACTTTTATTTTTTTTAAATTGACGACTGTCAATTTTAAAAAAATCACAACAAACGGGCACCTAGGAACTTTCTAGTCTCAAGTGTTATAATCGAACCGAGTCTAATCGTGTAGTAACAATAAAATTCGTTACTGTTAAAAGTATTCTACAATATGTTCTTTGTTTCCTCTTTCTTGTTTTTACCTTTTGCTTTTACCCTCTTAATTCGCAACCATTTTATCGACAATTGTATTTCTTATTTCTTCTAAAGTTCTTTAACTTTTACTTTAAGCGAAAAATGGAATAAGAAGCAAAAAAACAAGATGTGAAAAATAGTAAAGAGCAAGAAACGGAAAACAAGAAGCACATTGTAGAATGGGCTGTACAGTTACCACAAAAAGTAACGCAGTAAAGTTACTAAAAAAGTAACATGTAACTGTAACTTCGTTACAAGTAATGAGTTACTTCTATTTCCTGATTATTAGTACGGTATAATATAATAGGATCATAAGGTAAACGTCTCAGTGACCGGATACGAACCTATGTCCGGTCATTGAGATGTTTATTTTATTGCACTATCGCTGAAAAGAAGAATAACAACGAATATATTATATTTCTATAATTTTTTCTTTAAATGACGTACCTTTGAAAATTTTATCTAGATAACTCATTTTCTTTATATTATCGTATATTAAATCTCCATTATATTTTGCATAAAGTTCGTCAATTTCTTCACGCAGACTATTTTGTATGTTTTGATTTAATGCTAATTCGTAGAGCGCGTTACTAATAGTCGTCGACGAAGTTTCAAAGCCAGCAACGAAAAATACGAATGCTTGAGATGTTATTATATCCTCTGTTAAATCTGAAATGTAATTTCTTATAAATTTAATAAAAGTTTAATTTTTTCTTACATTAAAATTAATTACTTATTAACATTTTATATATTATATGTATGTTAAATTTATTGGTTATAAGTCATAATAAAAGTTTAAGTTAACTTTATTTTATTGTTTATAATTCAGATATGTGCAAAATCATGTAATTTTTTTATATAAAATTGTTCTACGTAAAAAAAAACATGTTTATAAAGATATATGTAGGTATACAAATTAATACATACCAAAATCACCTAATTTATCTGGATGTTTTTTTAATTCGCGCAACATATCAATAAAATCATTCCTAATGACATTATTTGTTTCTCTATAATTCATATTTTCCGTAATAACGCGTATAAAGAATTTAGTAACATCTGTATATGGCAAAATGTAACCGAGCATATTGTATAACCATGGAGATATTTGTCTGATTCTTATTCGTAACATAGTTATCCAAGTTATAGCAAATACTTTTCTTCCCATTCTGCGAAATTCGCTATCTTCGTTCGACAGTGCATTCATATCGATGCCGAAGGCACAGCTACCAATAACGTCGGTAGTATACTTTGCCGTCAACTCGCGGCATTCTACAGGTTCATTTTTGCTCGCTATTTTTTCCATATATAGAATCAGATGATCAGCACATTCTGATATTAAAGAGAACATTTCTTTCAGTTTACCAGATGTAAAAACAGGTGATAGTTTTATCCTCAACGGTCGCCATCTCTTTGGCTCTAAAGCGAAAAGATGCTGTGACAACGGTTCGGTCTAAAAAAATTGTAATTAAATTTAGTAAAATCTCTCTCTAATTTTCCTATCTTACAAAAATTTGTTTAAGATTTTGGAGATAAATCTCAATATTTTTTATAAGGGCTACGCTCTAACTTTGGATGTCAAATATCCTATATACAGTTTAATAATTATTGTGGAACATATACTATAACAAAAGCATATGTTTTAGTCTATTATTTGGTCATTTTCAATATTAACATATAAACTTGATAACGAAAATTTTAATTATTTTATAATTGGTAAAAATGCTCGCTTAACAATTTAAAACTGTCTGCTTAAAAACTTTTTGGTTAAAAATATAAAATAAAAACAGATGTACTCGTATGGTCATCAACCTTACTACAAGGAGAGGCTTATACGGTTATCATCGATTTTTATCAAACTTGCAGCGATATTAGAGGAGCCTATCAAGTAAACACTTATAAAGCCGTTCCTGTTAATAGGCCTTAGAAAGATTTAATGAGCAATTCAAAATATACTAAATATTTGATAACAGTCTAATGTTTCGGAGTATGCATTTTTAAGAAAAATAAATCATTATTAGACAAAAGTTATAGGGTTTAAAAAGATATTATTTATTTACGGTTTGCATAAAAATTAATATAGCAGAAAAGAATATTTTTAAATATGTATATAGTATATTCTCCCGTCGATTTTTGTATAAAAAAGAAAATGTGTACATTCCATATATTTCTTGCGCTCATTGTTTAAAATTTTATTATGTTTTAAATACTTTTACGATAATTATTAGATATTAAAAAAATTATTATTAATGATATAACCGCTATTTCTTTTTTTTTCGTTTTATACGTTAAATTAATTAATTTAATTAGTCACCGACTATTTAATTATCAAATTAATTTGTTCTCTCTCTCTCTCTCTCTCTCACCCTGTATATTTTATACAATATATATTTTATATTTTATTTATATTTATATAAATATAAATAAAAATTACGTACTACGTATAAAAATTGTTTTATTAATAATTTTTTAATAAATATTATTTAACGGAAAAAAAACCGATGACTTTAACCTCTTTGAGAGTTAAGTTCAGGGTCAAAGGCTGCGGTTATCCGGGTACACTTAGATATCATGTTATCATTCACTTTGTTTATCATTTATGAACAACAAGGATAAAACAACATCTGAGTACATCCGAACGACGATTCTGAACACAGCCAAAGTCATAGGTCATTTGGAGCTGCAGACTACTCATTGTCAGAGTCAGAAATGATAATGGAATCGATATCAATTCAACGTTAATTTGATGATTTCAACGTTAAATCGACGTCAATATTCCATTGCCATTTCTGGCTGGGTATATACAATAAAGAGAAGGTAATATCATAATCTTATTCAAATAATATTGGATCACTCATTTTATATTCTTTTTAACATTTTTTTACGAAGAAGAGAAAAAAATATATTTAGATCAATTGGGTACATATGTTACCATATGACCTATATATAGTGTGTGTTTTATTTGTTTTTTGAATATATTTATACATTTAACAGCATATTAGAAGTATTCTCACCTTTTCAAAAATGGGAAGTCCTCTGTCAGCAAATTTGGTAAAATCTTTGATAAGAACATCCTTAATTAAATTAGGATCTTTTACAATAAGAAGGGGTGTCTTCCTAGCAAATATTCCAATCAATGGTTCATCTTTATAAGTGTTATATATTTCTGTCAAATAATCTCCTGCGGATATGTTATTAAACATAACATCTTTAAAATTGCCAAGTCCTGGTATCGGTCGTGGACCCGGAACGCCACGTGATTTCCAAAAGTCAAAAGTTGATGTGAGAAAATAATAAAGAAGGAGAATTACTGCAGCAGCGCCGCATAGAACTTCAAAAGGTTCCATTGTTCAAATCAATCATCAATCGAATATCACGAATGATCTTTACTGGAAACAAAGAAAAGAAATGTTTTGTTATTTAGGTTTCTGTAAACTGAGTAATTTTGAAAAAATATAAAGGAGGATGCCAAAAATTGTCTAATACGTCGCAGTTTAAAATAGACGTCATTTGAAAGGTTTCGATAAGTAGATCAAGTTTTTCAATCTCTGTTGAGATCCTTATACATATTCTGCATCTCAATATATGACAGATTGGCGATAAACAGCAAACAGATATGTCAAACAGATTAAGATAAGATAATGGCAAACTGTAAGCAGTTTTGTTATTGCAAAAATATGGCAGCATTCACCAAGCAAGAATGTAACAGTATCTATCAAAAAATACCCGTTTTTTTCTACTGAAGACAGAGATCTGGGTACCTATATAGAACAATTCAGAATGGATGCCGATCGAAATTATTCTATTATTTCATAAATTTCTATTGTGCTTTCTAGAGAAAACGAAATAATTCCGATCGGAATTCATTCCAAAATATTCCATGATAGATACTTTGGTCAATATAAGTTTAGCATCAGTCCGTTGTTGCACTGCTATTGTTAGATCTGTTTTTTGTCTTCAATTTAACTTCAAAACATATTCTTCAGACTAGGTCTGCATTTGTTTTTTCACGCTTATGCGTTGTAAGCTTCTCTATCTTTTTTCTGTAAGTACCGAACAATAAATATGATAAGATGAAGCTTTTACAGTGCATGAAAAACAAACACAGTCTATAGGTTTTAATATGAATGTATTTGCGAGGACACGCACGCATACACAGCAGCCGCTGGTTTTGCAATCAAATGGTTAGTTTACTTTTACTCGTACTATAGAATTTCTTAGATAAATGCGCACTTTTAAATCTAAGAAACGTTCTAAATATAGATCATAATCTTGAAAAGTAAACACAGTTCCGTATTCAGAATGTGTTTTTATCAATATCAAAAAGTGCGTAATTCTGAATACATTATAGCTTTCATTTAAAAAATTTTTTAGTATCCCGTGCATAATGTAATCCATATGTAATATATTAGCGCAATAACATCGTAAGCGCGTTCTGAATACAGGCCATAATCTCACCTCGTTTTTATTTAATGAAAATGCAGTTCTTGGTTTATTATCGTATGTTTCATACTATTTTATTATGATATACACGTGTGAATATTTTATTCAAATTCAATTATGCAGATTTGTAATTTTGAGTGGATCCTGATGAAAAGCGCTTCAAATTTTTGGCATTTTAATAAAAAATCATCTTAATAGCACGTGTGATAAAAGCACACGAATATTTAAATGCGTATACATATAACACGTTCACGTACACGATGTAAACTGTTCACTAATTTTTGAGAAGTTCGTCGAATGCAATGCTTGAACGCTTGACTGTACCGACGTTTAATACAAGTACTTGATAGATAAAGTGAATAATGTTTGATGATACAGTACGTTAGCGCTTGATTAAGTACGTTTTAGTTATCGTGCTAAAGACGTTTCGTAGGGAAAAAAAGAGAACTACGCCAAAGCGAAATTAATTCCTCTTTGCTTTTTCATTCGGCTCTGGTGAGCAATTTCTTTGTCCTTATGATGATTAAGTGGACATGTTGAAATTACAGAAGTTTCTTTTTCGTCTTTTTTCTTCCTAAAAGTGTCATTTTAATATATTGATATATACAATAAATAACATACCTGATTGTGGACGATAATGCGATGCAATTATATATCGATGATGTTGCCGTGTATCATTAGGTGTTAATTTGTAAGTGAACTAGCTCGCGGAACAGTGCGACTTATGACTGTAGAGATTAATACTAACTGCCAGTGTCTAGATGGAGCAAAATTATAAGAGAATGCTCCACCACGAGGTGTGAAACAAAAATGAATATCACGATGAATTGTGGAAACAATATTTGTTCGTGATTTAACTTCTTTTGTAGTATTACGTACGTTCGTCGCAATGACTCTGCAACAACGATTCTTAGAAAAATCATAATGATTAGATAAGATTCCGTCAATATGTGTGTATATATATATATATACACATATATAGCAAAGTTTCAATGCCATACAAGATTTTAATTGATTCAGGCAAGTATCTCGAAAAATATGGAAGATACGGAAAAACGTTTCAGATAAAAGTGCTAATGTTCGAAGGGAGACATAAGAAAGTATCATTGGTTTTACCTTGGGTGGCATTGTCAAGATCAGATATCAGGATCACTTTGAATTTTTTAAATGGAACATCCCATTTTTTATTACATTTCTCGTATGCAGTTTGAGAAGAGAGAGCTTTTCAAAACGCTATAATCAAATATTTTTGCATTGAGTACTTTTCGAGTTATAAATCTTAAAAGTTACAGTATCGGCATTACTATTACCTAACTAAAGTGTTCGATAGAAAACCTCTCGAATGTTATCCAGGTCTCATTTGTTAAGATTAAGGCCATTGAAGGTGGTACCTCTTATTTTCATTTTTACATAAAAAGGAATTTATATGCACAAATAAAGTCTTTGACAAATATTATCTAGTCTCTTATAACTTTAAAGGTGCTTTTTCATGGGCGTCAATTGATGAGTTGACGCTCAAAATCGGATAAGGGTATAGTTAATAAACTATCATAAATAACGTCGATATTTTGATGCTGAAATGAAAAAGGTTTCGCGCGTCATGATTTTATAATTTATGTGGAAAATAAGTTATACCTTAAGTATTAACTGATTTGTTGCAACAAACGAAAAAATGTGTTCATTATTGGTGAAACATTATGAGTAGATAGTAGAATGTGCGAATATATTATCAATTTCAAAAATCATGAAATCCAAAAAATAGTAGCAACAATTACCGTAATAGCCGCAACTGAAGAAACTGAAAAAAGGAAGATATTAAGACAGAGTACTGCTTAGAATGTATTACTTCGTTGTGCAATTTACTGTTCAAAAAATTTGTTTAACGTTATATAGTTGCGAAACATAATTGGAGTGCTTGCTTGATTATTGAATCTATCAACATTTGATTTACTAATCCTTTGTGAGCAAGTTCATGTTTTCAGTGAGTCACTCATTGAATATCGCACTACAGAAGTATATTTACTATTGTCACACTATGATATAACAAATTTCTTTCTTATACATCTTATGAAGGTTCAAACCAAGAGTCGAAACATGTTATGTATACAATTTTTTATATCAAAATTTATTGAATTACATTCTAATTTTCAAATTGTAACTTTACATGTAAGTTTGTCTAATTGCTATTTATTAATGACTCTCGTAATTATTCTTTACTTTTTCCTTATTGCTATTTTGACATTAGAGCTTTGTTTATTATTAATTTATTTTTAACGACAAATAATTTTAAATAAAGTGTTTATTTTTCCCAATTATTATAGTGACTTATTGATACAATCTTGCATATAATCTACTGCAATCATTTATATGCATTGCTTTATTTCTTAAACTACGGGAACAAATATAAACTGTATATTTTCAACTTTTTCTCTTTCAGAGAAATATTATAAAATCTTAATATGTACGTATAGAAATGCGATTTTTATGACATTGCATTACCTATAAAATGCTGCATCAATAAATAATATCAATATTGAAAATCATGTGCATGAAGGTGGAGAAAAACATTAAATAAATGATATTAAAAATTGAACTTTCTTCTTTTGATGAATTCTGTTAATTTTGCTTTCTGAAAAACAAAGTGATATTGCAATCTTTGGAAAAGGATATACAATTGAAAGTCGATAGATAATGTCCACAAGCATTAGGATGTTACTCGGATTTTGCTTTTATATCTTCTTTGTAGTGTAGCAGCACAAGAGAGAACAAAAACACACCAGCCATCATGGAGAATGCACTTATGTAGTATGGAAATGCGCTCGGTATAAAGCGTTCATATTGTGTATGTTGTAGTGGACGCACAGAAACTTGTGTTGTACTGTAAAGATGGGTCAATCCAATGCGCGTATAGTCCACCTTGAATTGGTATACCCCATACACATCAGGAATCTTAAACCTACCCTCGTAGCGCCCATTTCCTACTGATTTCATAGTCATACGCACAAACGGATCAATTCGCACAAATTCCAGCTGCAGATCGTTTGTCTCGTAGGGCACCCACTTGCCATTCGACAATCGTTCGACTTCGATGGAATACACCACATTATCCATGATCGTATACGCGGCTGGCGGTTGTATTTCGCCGACTCGATGATGGTGAACAGATGACACCCGTATGACACCGTTCTCCTTAAACACCCATTGTGTCATGGCCTTGGCAACCACTTGATTGCCAGATTTCTCGTATTTTTGACCATCTGCAAGCAATTGATCTTTTTCAAGCTGTATGTAGATATTTTCAAAATAATCAAGTAAAAAATTTTTCATGCATGAATATAGGTGTGTATATATATATATATATATATAATCATATATGAAATATGTCCATATATGTTCATACATTCATCTTTCTTTTGTAAAATTACTTTCTAATGTAATAAAAATAATTAAAGGAATAATTTTCGCATTGTTTGTTTTAGAAGAGATAAGTTTGGAGAAATGTAAAAAAATTGTTCATACATAATTATGTATAATTTTACATACAATTATAAATCAACAATTTTTGACATCTCTACAAACTTGATTTCTTCTAAAACAAATAATATGAAAATTATCCTTTTAATTATTTTTAATGTCTTTTCGACTCCCGGCCGAGGTAATATTTTTCGCAATAAAAATATTTCCAGATTCAGTATTCTCAGATTTTAATATAGTTTAATATTGATATAAGATACCAAAAGAGCATCAATTAATTATTAATTTGTTTTAATTCGTGATAATACCGCGCGGTAGTTTGTTAGATTTGCGTTTCAAGACAAACGATTGTTCGGCGCGCAGTTTGGGAGGACTACGTATATTAGTATATAAATTCACGCGAAATTATATATAAAGAATTAAAAAGATCCAAGTTAGACTGTTATAGGCTTCGTATTCGTATTAGTTAAAATCTAATATTATATACATCACATTTTGAAGACTGTATCTAATCTTGTGGAATATTGTACATCAATTTGGCAAAATTGCTACAGAAAATTTTAATTATACAGAAGGATTTTTCCATCCGTAAATGCAAGAGAAACGAGTCTTTAACTAAGTAATGATAAAACAGGCACTCCAGCATCCCTTAAGCATATTTACATATATTCATGCATAACTAATTTTTTACTGAATTATTGCTATAAGGCTTAATAATTTTTTACCTTGTCCCTTTTGAATAGGACTGGTGAATGCTTCATCACTAAAGAAAAACAGTGAACCCGAGAACAAAACTCGGGCATTATTTCTTGCCTGTAGAGCCGCTATTAACAAAGTATTTTTGCCAACACCATGTGGATATTCTTTGATTGGTTGATCTGGATAATAAGTATATGCTGAAGTAGATGCTGATAATAAACGTAAAATTAAAGGATTATCTGTGTCAGCGATTAGTCCGGTTCCCTGATATAGCAATGGAGGGATGTTCTTGCTTCCAACAATAACTGGAGCATCTATTAGATTCGTTGGATCTGCTACTATAGTAGTGTGGTAGCCACTGTCAGAAACATCATAGTTCATATGATCAATTACAGTGGAGCCTTCCTCATCTATTTCCAAGCCACATTCTGAAGCTAATTCATGTATAGCATCGCCAGAATGCGAAGAGCCAGCAAGCAATACATTTCCGCCATTGTCTATAAACTCCGTTATGGCGTCTACACTCAGAGCACCACCAAACTCTTCCACCGTAGGTGCAAATATTATCAGATGTTCATATAAATATTCGCCATATTTGGAAAGCTGTAAAGTTGCATCATCAGCTGACTTGAAAGTTAATACATAACCACTATCTGTAACAATTTTAAAACCTATACTTAAAACCAATGTAGGATATAATACATACTTTTTTTACTTAATTGCTTGCATTTTAGTAAATTACTAAACATTATGCATTCTTATTTATCTAGAAAGGATTTGGGTGAGACTCTGAATGCATCTCTGTATGGTACAATTCAGGTAATACATTTAGAAAACAAACAAAAATCTAGTAAGAAAATATATATGTTGCTGGCTTAATAATACATTTAATTCTGATAAATTTATTCAATTACTTCTTAAGTGTCACTTAAAATTGCATATATAATATATAAGACATTAAGTAAATAAGTAAATAATATTAAATATTATTAAATACATTAGAAATTCAATTATAAATTTTATGTTATAAGAACGATTTGATATTAATTGTATTAAAATTGCTAGGTTATTTCATAGTAAATATTTAAGCATTTTTAATAAAATTAATTTGACAAATGTGCATTTATCCTATAGGATAAATATGTAAGTTTCTCGCGAAGATTGAAAATGGATCAATAATTGATAATTTGGCTTGGTCTATGAATCTATGAAAAAATATAATGAAATAGAGAGAGAGACTGAAATATATTTATTAAGTATTATCTATGTATACTCTACGTCCTCAGACATAGTTGATATTTTACATGTATGTACATTTACATGTCTAGCGAAATCTGGCTAGTCAATTCAGATATAATTCTAAGATATTCCAGGTAAAAATCTCAATCTTTCTAGAATTTATCTATTGATTAATTTTTATTAATTTGCTTAATATTGTATGCATTATATTCAAATTAAGATTCTATATGAATAAATTAAAACATTGACAAATTTGAAAATTCTGTCAACACAAATGATTCATCTACTGTTCTATTTTAGACATTAAATTCAAGTTTTCTATTGATAACTCATTGCATTTTTAAGAGAGGACTTATACCAAAATTCAACTTTTCTTTTTATTATTTCTCTTTTTTTCGTGCTCTAATTTTTTTTAAATAAAAAGAATAATAAATTTCAGGAATTTTCCAGAATACGTAAAATTTCAGTATAATTCCAGGATCTAAGGATATTCAAAGATAGCTGTATACCACGATTCGACATCCACGATGACGTGTACGACATGAAAAATATTGCTACGAACAGCTACCAATGTCAAATAATTAAAAAAATAGATAAAGTACCTTGCAACATTTTGAAGAATATTGAATGAGTTTCCTTGATAGCGAGATTATCTAACAGGACTAGAATCGGGCCGCCGGCATTCGAGCCGGCAAACATAAGAAATAAGCAGAATAACCATCCTACAAGTCTCATCGCGTACCACTTGTGACGAAATATTTGCCACGATTCACGATATTCACCGATATCGTCAAACGTCTTCTTCTTCGGTAATGTTCGGTAATAAGCAACGAGAAACCTGATTTCTGAGATCGGCCATGCCCGAGATTTAGATCACGTTTCCACTGAAGGTGCCGTTCATGATATAAAGCCCTGTGTCCATGGTGCTAGAATTCTGTTCGTATTCTCCGACCGAGAAATGTATAACCAATCAACTTGCCGTTTTTTTCATAAAAACTACATGTTGATTGGCTATATATTCCTGGATATCAATCATGAAACTTTTTCCTTAGAATGAAAAGTGAAACATTTCTCCATTAACTTCATGCCTGGTTTATGCTTCGGTCTTAAGGTCTTAATCCTAAAATTCAGCCAATAGAGTTCAAATTTCGGTTAGAACTGGCAGCTTTATTGGTTGAATTTTAGGATCTTGGGATTAAGACCTAAAGCATAAACCAGGCATCAATGGGCACATTCAGCGGACTCGACAGTTAAATGAGCGCTTGCTATTATTGGTGTATTCTTCTAAATCTAAAATTCTGATTGGGTGATCTAAAAGAATACACCAATAACAGCGAGCTAAGTCCGCTGAACGCACCTAATGGTAAAAATGTTCATTTCACAAGCTGTGAGAAATTAACCAATTACAGTCGAATTCGAGGAGAATAATCGACTATGATTCGTCCATTCCTTATGGCTTAAGGCTTAAAACTCTAGATCCGGGCTTAGGGCTGCGCACAATGGAGGACCAGATATTAGATATTAAAATATTAACCTATCAGAATCGTGTATTCCGGTGTATCTGATAGGTTAATATTTTAATATCTAAATCAGCATATATCTGGGTACATGATATATTGCAAAAAGTCTCTATATTAAATAATTATAAATGAAACTTGCGGTACATATCCACGTCCACGTTATCGTTGATAAGAACTTGAGACTTGTATACAGTGCTGCATTACCATTCGCTGAAATGTAAACAAGCGTTACAAAGTCCTAGGAGCTATCACTTTTTTTGCACTCTCATACGAAAGCATCAGTTTTGTATCGTCATATTCTGACGTATAACCTTTGTATGATTATATCTGAGAGGAGTTACCGATCCGCACAAATCTTTATGAAACGTTCGCGTTTTTGGTTTTCGTACGCTTTACAATTGCAATTCCCGACTGTTTTACTTTTAACTCGTGCTGTGCGCTACGCGCGTTTATCTTGGATCGACGTGGATCAACGAAAGCAACCACACGACCCACATTCAACCTGTTTACGTATGTTACGTTATTTGATATAGTAGTTGATAATCGCAAGTTTGTTTATTAAAGTAAACGGTACTGACATACCGTAGTCCTTATATTGGGAGCTTTTCAGCAAAGGACACAAGCGATACAATGTAATACAGCGAATCATTACATCCTTGTTATTCGCCAACGTTAAATAAAGATGAAACGATCATTGTGTTACACAGTGTCACTTGTTGGAAAGCTCCCATTATTGTTTAAGGTCAAATTTGTGTATTTATGCTTTTTGATATTGTATGAAGAGATAATGGTGAATAGTATTTTAATAAAAATAAAAAAAAAAAAACTCGTGTAAAATTGTATGCATAATAATATCCATTTTACGCACAGTGTACACAAAAAATACTCGCATATTACTTACATGATTTTTGTAATAAAATGTCAAAAGTGTAACTTATATGATGGAATCTTCTCTGCTAATTAATAATATAACCTCCCTTCATGTATTCAGATATCAAAAGCAATAAAGTTTTTCCATTAAGAGTAAATATGCTATATAGTTCAAAAGTATTCTTTAATACTTCATGTTTATAGAGCAACGTGTTTGTAGTAATAATTAAGTATTGTTTTCTTAAGATGGTAACGAACTTGTGAACTTTTGCTGAGATATAATGTCGGACGATAATATGCCACATATTTCTTATGGAGTTGATAGTCTTGGAAGAATAGTACGAATTGAATCAGGTACAACCAGGGCCAATATCAGACGTCTTCCAAGTGTAGAAGAAGTTTTAAGAAGATTACGTACAAATTTGAGGTCGGATAGACTAACTACTGACTCTAACAATGGTAACATACTGCAAACGAATATTTTGCCTAATATACAGAGAATTTATAAACTGTATGTGTGTATCTTTTTTTATAACAGAAGTATCTGATTCTCAAGCTATGGCACAAATAGCATCGCTAGAAGAAGATAGTTCTCAAAATGCATGGGATGATGTAACTGATCATGAATTATCTGTTGATATCACTGATGGAGCATCTTCGCCGAATCAAATTACATCTAGTGTGCCATCATTGACTCCAGAAGAAGAGTAAGTTGACATTAACTGTTTTGAGCAATATATATAAACTATATTATATATATGTAATATAAATATGTATATATATATATATATATATCATAATAAAAAGATAATATACAGAGACTTGATCAGATTGTAAATTGACATATTGGATTTTGGTATATTTATTTTATACATTTTCATAAAAAAATATTCTTAAAAAAATATATATTTTTTAATTTTTGGTTATTTTAGAATCTTGCAGTAAATTATAGTGACTGTTGTCTGATACCATATCAATTTATAATATTAATTTTTTTATCTAGTAGGCGGTATTGTTGGGTATGTTTTGCAACTGATGAAGATGATGCAACTGCAGCGTGGGTTAAACCGTGTCATTGCCGAGGTACTACAAAATGGGTTCATCAGGGTTGTATTCAGAGATGGGTAGATGAAAAGCAAAAGGGTCATGCTGGACATGCTGTAGCATGTCCACAATGCAATACAGAATATATTATAGTTTATCCAAATATGGGTGAATATTTTATGCACATGTGTGAGCGCATACTCACGCGCGCGTAAAGATTCTTACATATATAAAGTTTCTTACATACAAATTAATTGCAGGTCCGTTAGTGGTGGTACTCGATACGATCGACACAGTTATCTTCCGAGTATGTCCTTTTATTGCTGCTGGTATTGTAGTTGGATCCATATATTGGACAGCTGTGACTTATGGTGCGGTTACTGTTATGCAAGTGGTGGGTCACAAGGACGGTCTTACTATGATGGAACAGGCGGATCCTTTAGTACTACTGGTTGGCTTGCCAACTATTCCAATTATGTTAGTTTTGGGAAAAATGCTTCGTTGGGAAGATCAAGCCCTTAGCTTTTTGAGGCGGCATGCATCCAAAGTTCCTATTTTAAGACATTTTTTACCAAGCAGGTTTGTATTAACAATATTATTCTTAATAAATATGTAAAATTTATTATATATAGGGTGTCCCGAGAGTTTCTTTCAATTACTTTTGTGTAGATAGAGCGGACTAAACTGAGTCGAAAAGTCCTTTACCACTTTGCAAATTTTACAATGATTAACGAGATATTAATTTTTAAAGATAGCCAAATATTGATCTTTAATAATTTTTTTGTCAAATGTTATTAACTTTACAAAAAGACTGCAAGGGACAAAAATTGTGTATCTTCTTGTCATAAAACTCTAAAAATTTTTTCAAAATTTTTTGTTAACTTTTTAATACTGCATTTTCTTATTGGTAACTATTTTTACCAACATAAGAAATACAGTATTCAAAAATTCTGGAAAAATTCTGAAAAAATGTTATGGAAGACCCACCTGTCGGCTATATGTAAAAAAAACTTTTCCTAATCCAATATTACTAGCTTATATCATATTGTACTTTTATACATTACTGTATAATCTCATAGCAACAGCTATTGTTATTGCCTTACCTTTTGCTTTTACAATAAATAAATAAATAAATAATAGTATTCATTTACTATATTGTTGTAATTTATTAATTCTTAACGATGACGTGTAGGAAGTATCATATTACGTACTTACCAATAAATCTAAATTCGGATTTTATTTGTATTTTTGTATATGTATTTATTTAATTTTTGTGATTGATGAGAACTTAGTTAGGTCAAAACGTTTTACACAATTTTTATACAATATATTTGTATAAAATATATAATAATAGTTCAAACAAGAACATCATTTTTACTCAATTATATTGTCCTTGTTTATCCCTGTTAAAAGTAACAATTTCTGATGATTCATCCTCTGTATAAATGTGTTTAAAAATTATATATTTCAAATCTTATTCTCTTCGATATTTAATTATATATTTATAACTTAATAGTCTTCATTTGTAAAAAATAACAATAAAATAGAAAATACAGTAAGAAAGAATTAAGATATAGTGCTTTTAATATAATTATTACAGTTATACTGACGAAGACACAAGTATACAATCTGAAGATATACCACCAATGAATGATCCGGTATCTGCAACGCGTGTTCTTTGCGGCGCACTTTTATTGCCAACCATTGCTAGTCTGTGCGGAAGGATATTCTTCGAAAGTATAAGTTCTAATTTTCAGAGAACATTATTGGTATGTATTTTTTGAATTTATTTTGAAAACAAAATCTAAAAATGTATCTTTTTCATTATGTAGGGCAGAGAGGGGTTGTTTTGTACAGGGGCAGTTTTGAACTTTTCAAATTAAAAATGAACTGTCCTTTTCTATGATTATAAATTGTAATTTTTGAAATGGCAATGCAATCACAGATAATTGTCAAGTGATAATTGCCACGGTTGCAATTGTTAATCTAATCTCGAAGCGTTTTGTGTTTTTGTGCCTTTGTACTATATGTTTTGTCTCGCATACATAAGCATTTTGAAATTAAATCATTAAATAATTTACATTTTGTTGTGCTATGTTTTTTTCTTATGTCCGTATCTAAATAAAGATTATTTGGTTTTTATTGACATTCTGGTAAATAAAATAAGATTTTTTTTCAATGTGATTGATAGAGTATATTAAGGTATATTTGAACAAAGCAAACGGGGCACTTTAGAACATATTCACTTCAGTTGCGACTGTTGCAAGCTATGCGAGATCTCATAACTCCTTCGTAGTTTGTAGATATATATGATAAGGTTACATTTGATTGAATGAGTGTCAGATGCGATCTATTATTAAATTTATAACGCAAGCACTCTCAAGGATAAGGACTATATACTGCAGATTTGTTATCGTTCTCGACAGTATAATAGGTACGAATATACAGTTTTTTAATATCTTTCCACACTTAATGGTTAACTGAGATATACAATAAGTTACAGGACGCAGCCTGTTTACAAGAGTTTTTCATTGGTTGATCTTTCAAATGCTGTAATTTATTTTATTACTTTTATAAGAGATTTGTAAGAGTTTTTGTTATAAAGGAAAGTTATGAGAGTTAAGAAGGATAGTCTGTTTGGAACTTAAATTTTGATAATTTAAAAACAAAGTTTATTATGTTTTTAATTTTATTTGATTAATCATTATACAAGTTCTAAACTTTCATTTTTTAAAACTTTTATTATATTTTCAAAAAAAGGCTTTTATTTGTATAAATAAATAAATATTAGTACATGAGAAACGCTTAATCTTTCATTTTTACATATTCAAAACTGCCCCAAAATAATTCAAAATTATTCCCTTAGAGGAGGGGTACTTGTAACTACTAGCACAACGGAAAAATACAAAACATTTTATTACATAATAACTAATTAGCCTGAGAAGAAGGTATTCAAAGCGGTAAATATGCATTTTAGGTGACACCTCACCGATTTCAATGTTCTTTAGATATGTTGTAGGAGAGTATCTTGAGTGTTTCCCCACAAGAATTAAGTGGGAAGTGGCATTAGGAAGTGGTTTAGGAGATATGATAAATTAAAGCTGGTGAACTTTTACATTAAGAGATATCTTCGATGATATTAATCTTGACATATTATAGAGTTGAAGGTACTGATCAACTTATAAATTAATCGGCGGTTTCTTATAGTTTTCGAGATATATTTATATAAAGCTCATTTTCAAAATTTTATTATTTTTTGTATGACATCTTGTACAGAGTGCGTCACCAAAATCCAGGCAAATTAAAGTTAAATATCAAATTAAAAACACATTAAAATCAGTGAGGTATCACCTAAAATGCATATTCATCTTCAAAGCTATCTCTCCCTCTTATCTACAAAATGATTTTATATATAAAAAATTAATTTTATATTATAAAAAATTAATTTTTTTATAATATAACCGTCTTGTTTAAACTACTATTATAAGTTATTTATTTTTGTAGAACTGGATTATTATACAAATAGTTTTCTGCTATGTGCGTATAATTTTTCATGGTACTATATAAAGTCTCCCACTTCTGCATTTTCTGTTAAAGATGTATTCTTGAGTAATTTAGAGGTAAAAATTTCAAAACTATAACACTGTTCAACAGTGTTAAGAGGATCCTAAAGACGATAAGTCATATTGGAAATAAGTGACTCACCTTACACAATAGAAAGAAGATGTCTTGAAACATTGGATCGATTAATTTAATAAAATAAGTAGGTTATATCGATAAGTAAGTTATATCGCAGATTACATTACTTTGGTCACTTATTTAGTGTAATGTGCTTATACTTGAGCAACAATATATAATAAAGTAAATTGCGAGCTCTTGAGATTTTAAATAATAATAATAATAAAATTAATTAATGGGCAATTCAGAGCTAAGAATAGACGCGGTTATTTACGTGTATAATTAACAGATGTATTTTATCACAAAAGAGGTCTTGCAAGAAATTTCGGAAAAATTGGACGCTCTAACACTGGTTTTATCACATACCGTATTATTTCACTATTGAACATCTTGTGATATGTTTCGATACTAATTGTGTGTGAATGTAATGTACAAATAGATTTTACATTAGAAATAAGAGCAATTTTTAAATAAAAGTATTATTGCATATTTGTATGATAATTTTGAAGTTGAATAGAGGATTCCCGTAATCCCGTGAAGCACCTTTACTTGACTTGATACTTTATCATGAGCACATAAAATGTCAGCTCTGTAATTAGACTTTAATCATTATTAATTTAAAAACTATTACAGCCTCGACATTCTTTTAGGATTGCTGTTTCTAAATTACCTCAAGAGTACTTTAATAAGAAATGCAGTAAAGATACATAGTATATTTCTGTTTTTTATATCTCTAGGGTGGTGCAGCCTTTATAACAATAAAAGGTGCATTCAAGATTTATCATAAACAACAACAATACAAGAGACAATGTCAGCGACGTGTAATGGACTATACGGAGAGCAACGTAGCATTGTACAAAAGGCAACAAGATTCCGAAAGTGATCGAAGTTAAATAAAATAGTAATGAATATTCCAATGTTGATTAATATCAGTGTTAGTAGACGAGTCACTTTTTCACATATATGCACTGCTGCGCTAGAAAAATTCAATAATGTATATAGAGTGTAAAAAAAAGATCCTATAGTTTTAGCGGGATTTGTCCATATCTGGCAGCAGGATGATTAATAGTGCATTTGATTGAACGCTAGTGTGTGCACTGATACACATTAAAACCGTTTTATGCTAATTTATCTGAGTGTAAAAGTAAAATGCAAATATTTGAAATTGTAAAATATATATTTTACTTAACAGCGCAATAAAGTGTGCTGAAGATTTTTTCATGGTTTAACTTTCTGTGTGTTTCTATATTTATATTAAACACACAGTTTTACATCAGTCTATGTACAATACAACGACTTTAATGTACATCAGTGCAGCATTGAGTACGTCCAGTTGAATTCGCTGTAGATAATGAGAATCCGTGGTCTTTTTAAAATTTGTACATTGTTCTATAATATTTATTGATTTTTCAATAAGGTGATATAATTTTCATAGACTTATCAAAATAGGACTTTAATAGAATCTTTATAAGTTCGACATTAGTACAGCGTTGATGCCACACTCGAAGCACGAAAAGGTGACTCGCCTAACAACATTGATTAACATGGATATAACTTTTCAAATATAAAGCAGATCAGCGCTTTACAATAGTGATATTCATAAATAGTTTGACAAATATAATCTTTAATATTATACATCCAAATATTCATCATGGTATAAAAAAATAAAGTTTCGGTAATTATTTAGAATATCCCCCTGTATCATTGACAAATATCTTAACCTTTAAAAAATCTCGAACTTTAACGCTTTTAATATTCCGGTTCACGAGATCGAACGGCGCATTTTTTGCCAGATTCTTTCATTTCCAATAAAAACGCGTCAAATAAGAGTATTTTTATTAAGATTTTAGATACGGGGGGTATTCTAAATAAATTACTAAGGTTTCTTCCGTTATGCACATAATGGCAGCAGACTAAATTAGAACAACTAAGCAAATGTTGCTCCAAGTTTAGTGGAATGCATATGGTAGCAATTATGTTATTTTTTTATAATTTGGGGTAATGTTTTGATTAATTAAAGAGCAGCTACCATATTCAAGACGCTTGGGTAACCATGAAAATGTAATACCTTATATTCTTATACTATAGAATAAAGGATATATGTATGTACATAAACATACAAAAATAAAGATTATATTTGAGCAAGATTAATGATTAATTTAGGATTGCATTTTCCAAAAGATATAAGACGTTAGACAATGCAAAAGTGACATTTCCTTTAAATAAACATTTAAAGGAACAGTGTATTTTTTAAATAATTATATTACACCGGTAATATTTTCTTTAATCTTCCTTGTATAATAAAAATAGAAACAGAAATAGTTTTTTTTTCTTTTTCTTTATGTTATTATTGTTTTGTAACTTTAATTAATCTATTGATAATTATTTTTAAATTTTATGTTATAGCAAAATAATTTACTCAAGAGCTATTGCAGAGAAAAAATTAATGTAATAAATTACAATACGATACACGTTTGTTACATAAAACTTTACTGTAACTTTAGATACGTCTACAGAACAAAGATGTCATATATAAATATGTATATGTATACATACACATATGCAGGATAGTCTATTTTAATTAATACAATCAGTTTTCTCCGAAATTATTAATAATATAATATGACAAAATGTTTCTGGTGAAAGTGGAATAATTTCGAAGTGAACATATTTTGCAACATATTTTTTTACACAGTATGATTCCTCTATGATTAGAGGAATCATACTATGTAAAAAGATCATATAATCCCATTTAAAAAAGTAGGAGTCCCTTTCGAAATCGATTCACTTACATTTGAAACATTTTTTATCATTAATAATTTCAGAAACACAAAAAGAATAAAATTTGCTATAAACGCAAAAAAAATTACAAAATTTAATTATTAAATTTGTTTGCTGATTATAGCAAACAAATTTGCATATTTGAGAAATAGTATTTGTTGTAAATAATTTTTATAGCACATATATACATATGTTTATGTGTATATGTATATATATATATATAATATATACATATATTTATTACACCTGCAAATAATTTTGCGATATATATTTGCAAATAGAATTTGTTATCGTGGCACAGAATTAGCATTTACAATAAATTTTTTCTATGAAAATTGACTATATTGATTAAAATAAACTACTTTGCGCGAGCCCTCACAGACACACACACACACACACACACACACACACACACACACACATTTGTTTATTCATACTATATTAGGTATACTATATATATAAGGTTTATGAACTATATTTTGTAATCTAATGTTACATGTAAATGCTGTCATAAAGTAATCTCTGTACCAAATATATAAGGAAATCATGATTATTTACTTATATAAATTTACAGTGTTCATAGTTAATTTTTTGTATGATATAATTGTAATTTGTGTGTATCATGCCATATGTTTATATTCATTTTATAATAGTGCTAAATATCAGGTATTTAAAGCTACAAATATACTATCCGTAAATATCCATTATTCGAAATCAATAATAATACTGTCATACATTTAAACCATTTTTTTTAAATCGCGAACAGAACAAAGTGATTTTACAAATTTTTTTGTTGAAAGTGAATTTGTAAATGAAATTGCTCTATCATGTTTTTGAGAAAATTTAATCTAAAGGTATTGAAAATGGCCAAAATTGGTTCTGAATGGACGCCTTTAAAATCTATGCAGTTGTCATTTTGAAAGTCCGTACATTCATGGTAAAAAACTTATTTACCCAGGAAAACTTGGGAAATCTTCCAAAAATAATAAAATATGTATACGGTTCAAACGCTCTGCAAAGAAACTCATTTTGTTTCTAATGAACGATCATAGGTTTCAAAATTAATGGTGTACTTATACTTAACCAGGAAGTAAGATATAAGGAGACTCCACTCCGTAAAATAAAAGTGGACCCATTTTAGGTTTCGAGTTCAGCTTCCGATTCTGATGAGTGCGAGTAAGAGAAATGATCATTTCTCTTACTCGCACTCATTATGCGCAGCACTACTAAATTCACGAGCGCTGCGAGTGTCGAGAATCGGAAACGGAACTCGAAACCTAAAATGGGTTCATGTCTTGTAGACTGGCGAGACCGAGTGGAGTCTCCTTATATCTTCCTTCATGTATTTAACAAAGAAAACAACTTACTGCGGTTGAAGTAAGGCTTCGTTCTTTTAAATAAAATACTTAATACTACAAAAAAGATTTTTATTAATTTTTAGCTGTAGCATGTGCATCATAATGCATTTATCAATAATATCGAAAAATAGCTTTTTTTTTACAGTCATTTTCGATGTTCTCATGCTACAATTTTATCGACAGAGTCAAAAAATGGATGTAGCCATATAGTTCTCAAACCGAAAATGGATGTATTAGCGGAAGTGTATAGGCGATTTCAACAGTAACAGGAAAAAAGTAAACATAAGTCGATTCTTATATTCAAGATTTGCTTAAGGATGTCACGAACCAATCAAGGGGCCGCATCGCGTCTTAAGACAACTTAAGGCAGTCTTGAAATGAAAACCGACTATGAATACCGGCCTTATTTCTCTCTGTCTGAACAGTGTTGTCAACTTTCGATTAATGTCTTATTTTGCAGAGTAGAGTGACGCTCTTTTTGTCAAATCTTCAGTTTAACAATGGAACACATCGATTAAGAATATTTTTATCAAAGTTTGAAGTGGACAGGATATTTTGTACATTTACCTTTTTTTTTTGGTGTATCTTGCCGCCCTTTCATCATAAGTTTCCTTAGTAGGTGCAATTATAGCTTAGTTTTACTTTAATTTTCTAACATTTCTTTATATGAATTATAATATATTATTGTCAAATATTCGAATTCTGTACAGATTTTTATATAATTTGTTTTCGTAAGAGACAAACATATTCTCTTTCATAGATATGGATATTTCATTATTATTATGAGTTATGATTTAATATAAAACTTAATGTAGCTCTGATTTATTAACATATAAATTAAGAGTGCACAGACACACAATGGAATAAGATAAGATATCGTGGAATGAAACAAAATAAGGAAAAGCAAATGAAGGGGTTAACCAATCAAAACAATTTTGTTGTTTCGTAGTTAGATTTCACATGTTAATGAAAAATATATTTACAAAACGAAATAAAATAACCTCCATAGCATGTTACATAAATTCATCTGCATGTTATTCATTACAGTATGTCTATAAAATATTGATATTTTAATTATATATATATTTTTTTTCTATTAAGAATAATTAAAATATATAATTATTGTGATTCGTGCTTAAAGGAGTACCAAATTACTAATGACAAAATATTGTTATGCTGTTGTAGATTATGCTAATTTAATATTTGTAGATGACAAAAACATTTTTTTATAGCTGATAAAATAAATATTTATAATACAGTATTATAGTAAATCGTATTATCCTTTATTAACAAATATAATTATTGCAAGAAATAAGACTGAAGACACTAATTGTAATAAAGAACAGCTGGACGAAAATTTGATAGTAATCATAAAAAGACCTGCTCTTTATATTTTTTGTCTACTTTTGAAAGAAAAAGGAAGATTATAGAATGATGTTTCATTGAGAGAAGTCAGTATATATTTGAAATATGATCTATATAGATTTGTTTTTATACTATACATATACACTTTAAAGTTGTTAAAGGATTACGAGTTGTTGCCATTTAGTAAAACCTTGCAATTCACTTATTAGGACGAAGAGGAGTCCTTATTCTGATGGAGTAAATTTTATTACAACCAGTGCCTAATCTTATTTTCTATAAGAATTATATTTGTTAATAAAGGATCAATACAATTTGCTATTATATCACAAATATTTATTTTATAAATTAAAATCTATAAATATTAAATTAGCATGTATATTATTTGTAAAATAAGAGTGTTATGTAATTTAGTATTCCTTTTATCACCAATTACAATAACTACGTTTTAATTGTCTCTTTTAAAAAACTATATGTATAAACTATTAAAATATCAAATATATTTTGTAGATATACTGTAATAAATACTTTACCATGTAGACGAATTCATGTGACAGGCTGTCGAGGTTATTATGTTCCATTTCGAAAATATATTTCTCATGTGTGAAACTCAGCTACAAAAAATTGTAACAAAATTGCTCTGATTAATTCCTATTTTATTATTTGCCTTTTCCATTTTTATTCCATTTTGCTATTTCTCATTTTATGTAACCGCACTCTTATCACGTAGACAAGTATTGATATAAACTACTCTTTCTTTGTTTATGTTTTAATAAACATATACACAAAGTAAAAAACTTACTGCTGCAAATACGGACTTAATATTTTTAATTTTCTTGCATTATTTCTTGATAACACATTGTTACGAATTTTAGAATGTAAGAAAAAGGATATTATCTCTGTATATGGTAAGCTACTAAAAAGTTTTATATTAATACTTTGTAAAATATTTTATGTGATATTACTTTTTTCTTAAAGTTTTTGAAGGAAAATTGAATATTCAAATGCTTTTTCCTTATTGTAAATAAAATCTTTTCCAGGTATATGATTGAATATAAATACTTTATAAACGCTTGTCAATCCAGATGATTTAAAGTTCAAGAAAAGAAGTGCAATATACTAATATATTTGATTATGGCATCGGCAATTGAAATTTTGGGAAAACAGGCAATGAAAACATTTTGTGATCGTCGGCTTTGTCAAAAAAGCTTAGACAAATTGTGGAACCTGATAAATAAGATAACAGCCGAGGACGTAAAACTCGATAAAAATATTCTTGATTTTGTCAGTAAACAACCGGCACCTATGTGTGTGATGGATATATTTGAGAACAAGGACATAACAATTGCAATTTTCATATTAAAACATGGAGTCAAGATGCCAATGCATGATCATCCTGAAATGCATGGTTTGTTAAAGGTAAAAACGCTTATAATACATTATTGTTTATATAAATTTATTCTATAATAATTTCTATATACTATAATGTATAGTACATAGAAATCAATATATAATACAAAGATTATTCCTCAATTAAAGAACATTAGATTTAACATTTCAAATTAAAGAAAATTAGCTTTAAATAGAGTGGCGTTTCAAGACCGAAGAATTGTTCGGTTCGCGGTTTAAAAGACTACTTTCGTAATACATAAATTTACACGGAATTATAATAGCCAGCTCAACTGTTAAAGGCAATTTTTTACTAGTTATTAATATACAATGCATGAAATGTTTCGATTTTTACTCTTCTTCATCCAAATTACAATAAAAAATAAACGTTCCAACTCTATGTTTGGGTCATTTTCAATACAATTTTAGTAAATAATGAATTTATGGAAAGTGAAGGGGATTACTTTGATTGGATTAATATTATAATATATAAACACGAAATTATAATATAATTGAAGATTTTGTGTTTAATCCATTTTTATATTTCTATTGTTAAGCATATGTAAGTTTTTATGTCGATTTGAGCACGACTTTAATGTGCACTAATGCACACTGAATGCATCCAATCAAATTCGCTATTATACAGATTGATATTGAGCAAATGTTTCTTTTAACTTTTATAAATATTTAATTATATCTACTATTTGACAAATAATGTAATAAGAAATTCAATAAGCATAATCTGTTAAATTATTTAAAAGTACTTTAAACCGACATTATTTTTACATCAACCTAATAATTGAGAATTTTTTAATTTAAAGTTGCAAGTTCTCTTAAAATCTAAATTAGTGTTTACATGGGTAAAATTTCCTAATGCGAAAGCCAATGTATACCAATAATATTTATGAATATAATGTATCATAATATAGGTAATCAGTGGTATGGTAGAATTAAGCAGCTACAGTTTGAAGACAAAGAGTAATCATGTAATTAAAGCCAAGGAAGAGATTGCGGCAGTTAAGCATCGACCTGTCTGTCTTCATAGCAATTCACCTGCTTGCATTTTAACACCAACAGAAAAAAATCTTCATGAAATTTCATGTGTGGAAGGTCCTGCAGCTTTTCTAGACATACTCAGTCCACCATACGACAATGAGTTTGGCAACGGAACAAGACCGTGTACATTCTTCAAGACAGTCAAGTCTAAGTTATATACAGAATCGGCAGATATAATCGAAGAAGTGCAATTATCAGTTGTAGAGAATATATCAGACTTTTATTCTTTGAATCTAGACTATATGGGACCTCCCTTACAAAATTATTATAATTAAGATATTTTTTACATCTTAATTTGTGAATTTTGTATTTGCAATACATGATCATATAGATTTTTACATAATCTTTATGACACAAACACACACACACACACATATACACACATATATTGTATATACCACGGTGTTAGAAGTATAGGTGGTCTGACTAGCCTCCTCGAGCTGTAATTATCTTGGGATAATTTGGAAGACTGTTACTAGAGGATGTCTGAGAGTCAAGTCCATTGACAGTCTCACTTGCTCTCATGTATGTACAGCTCATATGTTTCAGTATTATTGCAATATTTCCGCATAATAAATATTATTATGCATATAAAAAAGATGTCTATATTAAAAATGAAACAGAAATTCGTTAAATGTATATAGAGTTCTTCTTCTGAAACTGTTCTTCTTTTTTATCAGGTAGATGTATATTTTTGGTTATAAGATTTTTCCCTATTGTATTGTATTGATTGTATTTAGTTTTTTTTTTTTTAACCAAAACTACTTTTTACTACCTCACATGTTTACACCACATTTAAAGTTGACATATTTGTTTTCGTTCGGTACTTGTATCTATGACGCCTAGTGACGAAAGCGCCAATTGACCTAAAATAATCACATATTAATATAGGCTGCATATGAAAAAGGTATTCAATTGGATCTTCTATATTTCTAACTCCGTGATATATACACACATATATATATATATATATATATATGTACATGTAAATGTATTCAAGATTTATGTTATATATTGGCAAGATGCAATCAAATGTTTATATTGTGAACTCATGGAAATTATACATATATATATTATATGTATTTACATGTAAATGTATTCAAGATTTATGTTTTATATATTGGCAAGATGCAATCAAATGTTTATATTGTGAACTCATGAAAATGATTGTTTTGTAAATTTCGTCCCAATTAAGTCAATTTCTATAATCAATATGTTATTGTTAAATATTGTATGTATACATAGACATAATATACTTTCATTACTTAATTTTTCACGAAGTTACATTGTAATAATATCATCCTCAAATTTCAGCACACCTTGTATAGCGAATTTAGACATTTGTATCTACTAAAGGTACTATACATTTGTCAAGAAAAATATGATATACAGGGCTATTCAAAATAACTTTTTATCCTTAAAAAAACATGTATTTCCGATCATTCTCTGAGACAATTTTTTTTTTGCAATAATTGTTCAAAGCTTTTTTGGTTATAAAGAGAAATCGCGTATTACAAGTCATGTATAGAAGGTAGTAGGTTCTCACTACACTTTTCTCACAAGAAAACGCGATTTGCAAATACTTATGTTGACTTTGCGCTATTATTTTATCTAATTTTACATTTCTACAAAAAATTCTTTAACAATTATCTTTTACTAAAACCATACAAAATAAGACATATAATGTGTCAATATAATGTGTGTTTAAACAAAATTTTGCTAAAGGAAAAATTGTCTCAAATATGGTCAGGAATATATCTTTTTAAGGACAAAAAGTTATTTTGAATCACGCTGTATATACTTTTAAAATAAGTATTAATATAATAGGTATAGTAAAATAATATAAAATACATTAATGTTAATATCACACTTATAGTGCAATGCATATTGGATTTTTTATCAGTTACTCCATTTATATTATGATTAGCATTTAAATATTTTTATGTATATTAATTTAAAAAAAAAAACTGGAATAGATGTAGAAAATTAGATTGTACATATACACAGTTAATAACTGTCAAATTTGCTAAATAGATTGAGTGATTTTTATGTTGGCAATTAGCGGGAAAGCTAGAGTAAATAAAGAAAGAAAATATAATTGTTACACCTCTTTGTTTATTTACAAACAATGACATCCTTTTTTTTATAAGACGGGGGAAATGCCTACATATACCACGGGCCCGCGAGAACGGGTACCCGGGATTATGTGGTACTCGCACCCACTAAAACCCCCGCCGGTGTCCTTCCACGACTCGTAACTTGTGGACCCACCCCCCACCGAGGGCGCGGGGCAAAGGTCCAATTTATGATATCTTTGAAATACTGTTTTTTTTAGTTTTAATTAATTTTATAATATCTCTTGTATCTTTTAAGATCACTTCAATAATCTTATGACAAAAAAAAAAACAAATAAATATACAGAAATACATTAAGAGGATCTTAAAGCCATCTGTATTGCCATATCGTTTTTGTATAACAATTACTTTTTTCCTCTTTTACAGTTTTGAAAATTCTTTTCCAGGATTAAAGTATACACATTAATACGTTACTGCTTTCAAGGATAATCATGAAAAATTATTTCCTATTATCTTTCATTAAATTCTTTTCTTATACATTTATTGTTAAAATTATTTTTATTTATTTACATTGTTTTGTATCCCTATTCCCAACAAATTCCGGTAACAGGTAACGTAACTTCAAACCATTAAAAAACAATACTACGTCCTCTTTCTATCCATTTAAGATTTTTTCCGACTCCCTATCAATTCTCAACCTAATATTTGATGAATTCTAACTTTTTTTTGTTTGAAAAAGTCTTATTATTTTCGCATTTATTTGAATTTCCTGGTCTGTACTCTTTACAATCGTTTCATATTATTTGTTTTATCAATATGATACAACGTAACTTGGTGACCATGTCACTTGGCGACGTGGTCACGAATTACTGTGCCAGCCATTATCAAACATTTTCGCTAGTTATTTCTTGCAATTAGTAACTAACGTTCATCATTATTAAAATATATTCGCGTTCGCGTGTGTAGTTACCGTTTTTAATACTTTTATTAAACAGAAATCAAAATAAATAGATTGTGAAAGATGGAAAAAACGAGGAAAATTGATAAATTACCGTTGGATCCTCAACGAGAATTTTTGGACATGGATACAGACAACGAAGAGTTTGGTCGACAAGGTCTTTTTATCATAATTTTTTTCCAACATTTTTAACAATTTGTTTATTAATAAATTAATTGTTAATTAACATGTATATATACATATAAAAGTATGCATGATGTCATCTAAATTGTTTCAGAAAGTCCTGAAACCGAAGAGGAGCAATCTTCCGAACTGATCAAACCAGTCTTTGATGAACAAGATTTAGACAAATTGGTTATTCCTTCAAGTTTATTTAGATACATTCTCACATATATGTGTATATTATTTTTTATTTTTCATAATAGATCTCTCATTTCATTTTTTATAATCGTACAAAAATCTATCTGTATATTTTATATATCTGACATCAAATATTATATATATAATATACAGTTATTAACTAACTAGAAAAAAAGAATAATTAGCATTTTTAGAATATCAATTAGATATATCTTTTCAGTAAACATTAATATAAACGATATATGTTTGTGTATTATTGTAGGTACAATATATAAAAGATTTCACAATTCTTCCTTCTATCAAGAATTCCGATTGGAAAGAGGATTGTTATATGATAATTCGCGAATATTTTGAAAACCCAGCTTACATGTTATTATGTGTATATTTTCAAGTTGATACACTGAAAGCACGGTTAAGCATCTTGGATGATAATCAAAGCGATTTTGTATATTTCTTACGAATACCTTGGCACGTGTTTACAGTTGATAATTTTCATGCCACAGTTGTCTTCGGCAGCATCAATCGTAACACAATGATGTGCGTGTTGAAGTTAATGGAAAACATGTATATCACCGTCGCACGTAGCGATGATGAGTGGCCTGAAAGTATCTTTTTTTCAATCTTTAATTATATATGACAATTACGTTTGATAACAATTTTATCGAGACACTTTTGAAATTTAAATATCTAAAAATAGCAAATATTTTGATCAAAAATTCAGATTGTATCATTTTTCAAATCATATTTTTGAAATCATTGTTCTTCGGTTTAGTTTTTTAACATCATATTTTATAATTGATAAATATTTTCTTTCTTTAACAAGAACAGTTATTAGAAACAATTTGTTTTCAAATCTACACAATTTTCTAATGTGCTTAACCGAATGGGTTTACAAGCCAATGGATTTAACCAAATTATATGTACCGGGAGAAAATTTGTCTGATATTGCGACACTACAGAGAGATATTCTGCATATTTCTAAGGAATTGCAGGAATCAGAAAAGGCATTGATTGATATATACGAAAGAATAGTACAATATTGGGTCAAACAGATACGGCAAGTACTGTCAAGTACATCCACAAGCAACAGTAAACGAACCATATTCGACGAGGTGCAATGTTGGACAAGAAAATGTTAGTTTCAAATGCTATTACATTGTATATTACGAATCATAAGCTATTATAGCTGTTCGTGCTTACTACAATTTTTATTTTTGTCTCAAAAGAACATAAAATGTTTTATTTTTAGATTTTAATTTAAGCTGTTTGCACGATCAATTATCGAATATGGAAGTTCAATCGATATTGCATCTGTTAGAGAACATTTGTTCACCGAGCGTGGACTCCTTTCAACTTTTAACATTACAGCTTCGCGAAAGCTTAGAACAAGCTGCATCCAATATAATGTATCTGAATATACTATCAGAAGCTTGTGAAAATCTGAAATGCCCAAATGAGATTGAAAAGCCCATAATGAAAATATTGTTATTGATACTGTTCATCTGGACAGAATCCCCGTTTTATAATGTGTCGTACGCGATCTTTTACATTTATTTAATATGATATATTAAAATATTTGACTGATCATTTGTTATTTGCAATCGTAACTATATTAATATTTTCATTCCTGTCACTTAATATTAAAATTATATATATATTTAAAAAGTTGGATAAACAAATTTGTTCATTTTAGGAGTAACATAGAAGTACTTTGTGAAGCTATAAGCACACAAATAGTACTTCAATGTAAAAATTATGTCAATTTGCAAATAATACTAGAAGGCGACATAGAAAATGGAATAAATGTACTCCAGAAATGCATCTCCTGTTGTCAAATATATAAGACGATATATAATAAAGTATTTACATTAAATATGTAACCAATTTTACCAAGTTTTCATCAAGCAAAACAGTTTCTTTACAAACATACAAAAAAAATTAATAAACTGTTAACATTAGCAAATGTTAGTTAAAACAAAATAACTTGTATCTGAAATCTTATAAATTTAATAAACAATTTGAAAAAAAATGGTAAAATTGGTTGTAATTTTTATATAATTCGAGCGTTTGTTCATTTTTTTTGCAAAATTGCAGATTACGAAGATAACTGCGCTTATTAAATTGAATAGCAACTGGAATGTGAACGAACAATTAATATTTAATTACATTGATACGTTTATGCAAAGATGTTATAATATCATTGAAATATGCAATACTTCAAGAGTGTTTGAAAAGTAAAACGTAATATTTTACATATGCATGTTCAGAATAATAAATATATCACTGCATGACTCGCACGCGTTCATTATCGTACACACGCATACAGTTATAATAGACATGTGACAAAATTTTTGTAGGTGTACTAAAGTGGGAATGATTGGCGGTCCAAATGGTATAAAATATGATGCTTGTTGTTGCCAAATAGAGAATTTATTTTCTGAGATTCTTGCCGAAATTAAATTGATCTGCCACGAAATTTTAGATGTTACAAAATTTTCGTGGCTCGAGAACATGCTGAAGTTTAAAAACTTTGTGACGGAATTAGAGAACATGGTCAAAAATTTGATCGACTGCATATTTGATGAGATAAAAAATGTAGAAGAGGGCATCGAGGCAATTTATGCTTTACAACGCTTTAAATATAGGAAATCATTGAGAGATTTATTATCGAGGAAATGGGTGCAGGTAAGAAAAACAAATTTTTATCAAAAAAAAGATAAAAATAAAGAATTCAATCTTATTATGTTATTTTATGTTAGAATATATATAAAAATGTAATAATAATATTTAATGCAAATTTTAGAATATACATTTTTTTTTTCTTTAGGTTTGGGAAATGTTTAGTAAAGAAATTGAAAGCTGTAGTAATAATATGATTTTATGTCAATCATATTATACTCCGTTTCAATGCTACTCAAAAGACGTAATTATGCTATGCATTAAACAATATTTAGAACGATCATTCCATATAATGATGGATATGTCCGATTGTATAGGAGATTGTGCAGCTGAGACGTACGTAAAATCGCTTTAAGTTAATATTCTTTTTATCTACTCACATAATAAATATAATTTTACATAATTAAAAAATTATAGAAAAAAGCTTGTATATATGTATGTGTATGCGCGCGCGTGTGGTTTTTGTTGCGCTATATTTTATAAAAGATAAAAATATTCAAGAAATCGATTGTGTAACTAGACACCTAGTGAATTTTATAAAAGTGAGCTGTTACTTGATTGTATAACTTTCACCATAGTGAAAATGTGATATTTTTCAATCGAGCTTTGAAGAGTTTGAGAGCTCTGTATTATCATTCTTTTACTTGAAACAAGACACTTTTGTACAAAATACTTTTAATGCTCTCTATAAATTTGAATCAATGGATAGTCACTATAATTATCCAGTGACATACTTGGCATTGGATAATCAGTGAAGTTCAACTAAAAAAGAAAGAAAGTTCAAGCATTATATAACTTAAAATACTGATATTGGCATGTTAATTTGAATTTTCTAATACCATATATTCATTAAATTTATGTATTAAAACAAGATTAATTAAATCACATAATAAAGATTAGCTAGGTTACACATTTTATTCACTGATTATCAGTGGCATACTTAGCACTAATATTAGTGATTATCCATTGATTCAGATTTAGAAGACAAAATATTTATAAAAAAATTATTTTTAGATATATATTGGAGCAATACAAGCAAATGATGTGTCGGCAAAAGTAATAAATGAATGTCGTCGATAATAAAACATATCAGTGTGTAATTAGTCTTGAAGAAAATTATATAATGTATACACAGTAAGGAAAAAAATATATGATAATGGAAACTATACGCGCGGTATATCAACTCTTAAATAATTTTTCTATAAAGATTGCTAATAAGTTAAAATAACAGAAAAATCTATAGTAAATATTAAGTATGACGCACCCCCACCTTCGATTTTCCTGTAATTTTGTAAAGTATGTTTTCATGCATAGAATATATTCTAAAAAAGAAATTGTTGCTGAAGGTTTTTTAAAATTAAATTTTGAAGTTTTTTTTATATCGGGGTAATTAGAAAAAAAATAATTATTATAAAATAAATAGATTGAACCGGTAGACTAGACGCGCCGCGGTTTCTAACCTGGTGAGGAGAGTTTTACGGGGAGGGAAGGGATGACATCCTGGGCGAGGAGGATAATATCACAGAAAGGTGGAGTAGGATGACGTCACGAGTGCGGGCGAGGAGATCACATCACAGGAGACGACGTCATTGGATGTACTGGGAAGTTCGCGGGAGTTAGCCATTGCGGGGTCCACCGCGGTGCGTTACCATGATGCGGGGTCAGTGACAGCGGTCCGGCGCGAAGGTAACGTGGCGGTCACTGACCCCGGTGACATAATACGCCATATCAAGTAACGCGGACCCCGTAACATCGCGGACCCTGGACATCGTCCCCGCGGATTCCGCGACGTACCCTTGTGACATACTCCCCACCCCGTGACATTGTCATCGTGACATCATCTCCCTCCCTTCACCACGACGTTATCACCCTCACCCGCACCCATAACGTCATCTTCTCCCCGTGCCATCATCCCCCTCGCCCAGTGATGTTCCCGCCGCGCCGCGGAACCTCCTTGCCCCTCACTTCCCCTCGGAGCTCTGTGAGTTTAGAACTCGCCTATATACTCTACTTTTGTTTAAAATATATATGTATAAAATACTTTTGTGTTTCATATTAATTTAATCAAACACTTAGCTAATTGATCTAATATTGGTTTTGGAGGATAAATATTTTTTTTTTAGAAAAGTTTTTAAAGTGTAACATACAACTCTTTTTTATATATTTGGCATAAATATTTTTTCTTTTTCTTTTAAAAGAGTTTTTGTTCAAGGATAAGAATATTCTTTAAACAAAGAAATAAGTACATTAAAATCATTTAATATTCTTTAATATAATTTGATTTATATATGTATATAAGATGCAATTTTATATAGGTACAACAAAATAATGTAAAACACTACTGTTTAAAAAATTATAATTTTAGTTACTATTATTAAAAGATTATACATGAGTATTTGTTGTAAGGAAAAAGTTTTAAATAATAGGTATTTTAAACCTTTGCAAATAATAGAAAAAAGAATTAAAATAAAATATCTGTAACTATAGTTGTTGAGACATTAATAAAAAATATAGCAGTTGCAAAGAAATATAAATATTGAAATCCAGACACAGCAATATTTTTATTAAAAATTTTTTTTTATTTTTCCCAAATATTTAAAATATCTTTGAATATACTATTTTCTTTTGTTTTGTTGCTGAGATTAGAAACATTCTTAAAATAAGATAGAAGAATATTATATTTTTATATATAGGTAAAATTGAAAATAATTACATTTGCTTAGAACTTAATTGGATTATATTAAAAGGCGACCAAGCGTTCTCAATAAACATTTGTATGAGGGTGAAGGGAGGGTGGTTCCCAACTTCCTTCATGCGTCGCGACGCGACGTTTCTGGTCTGCATTGCGCATTCACGAGGAAGGTGTATCGTAGCGACCATTATACCATTGCACTTTCTCGCCATCGTCGTCATCGTTATGGCCATCGTTGCCATCGTCGCCGTCAAATTTCAACAGTGATTTTGATAAAGAGTCATCAGTGGTACAAGTAGAAGTTAAGAAACAGAATCAAGCGTAATCCAACGATATCATACATTACAAACAAGCAGCGTGACTTCTTCGTTAAGACGGTAAGTAAAAATTTTTTTCACCTATATGTGATTACAATTATCTTGAATTGGCCAAAAGAATAAAAAAATCTGAAAAAAATTTCACTCGATTTAATCGAGCTTTCTATGTTTAATTGTTGAATTTTGTCTTTAAAACTGTCAAGCTATTAGGCGAATTTACACGAATAAAGATATTATTAGGAGATATAATCGATATTATGTTAAACAAGAATGATTTTTTAATCAAGCAGCAAACAACTTTTAATTTTTATTTTTTTCGTGATATGATCAGTATAAAGTGTACATACAATACTCTAATATAATATAATCTGGGTTTGATAAATAAAAAAGATTTTAACCCTCTGTCGGTAATATAAAATATTCAACTTTGTTTTTCGAGATGGAGCGCGCGTTAAAATCCGTAATAAATTTTCTATTAAAAGAAATTAATAGTAATTACAATCATAGCAAAAGAGAAACGTTAAATTCATGCACTAATATTTAAACGGATTTTCTTAAACTAAGATTGACAAGTTTATTAAATTTGTCTAAGTAAATTTGTACATTTCGGTTAGTTTTCTAAATTCTTCAGCCATGACAATTTTGAAATTAATGGTAGTGATGTTTATGTTACATACTTTAAAGTGGCAAAGATGTATTATTTATTATAGTTTTCAAAGTTACAAAAATTTCCTCTTATAACAGAAAAATATTTCCCAAACCAGTTACAAGGCTGAATGGATACAATAAAGTATTATGTGCCAAAACGGAAACTGCAATAGTAAAACAAACTGCTATTACATGCGTAAAACATTTAATAAAAAGTCAACGAATATAAAATTTAAAGTGAATAAAAATTATAAATGTCAGATAATATCGAATATATGTCATGGCTGTGTTCATCAATCAAACAGTAAAATCACCTATTCTCTTTGGCTCTGATTGTAATCTCTATTAATTCTTTTTTAACAAAAAACCAGGGAATCGATCCACACTTGTTCGCTTTTATAAATTTTATATTGTTTTGAACTGTAAACAAAATTGAAACAATTTTTGTATACCAGTATAAAGCTTTTAACAAGTTTACTTCATATTAGAATTAATTGATTGTATTTTATTTGAAGTAAAATATGCATAAAAATTCCAAAACGAAAATTTTTTGCGCACACGAACGCACGTACATAGTAAATATATAGGTGTACAAAAAAGTTCTGAGCTTTTTTTTGTAAAATCTATGTAATAAATATATATTATAATATATTATATCTCTATTATTATATAATATAAAGAACAATACATACATGTAGTCTCCTTATCATTTGACCTTTGATAAAATAAATATCTTCTCCGTTTCTTTGATTTATTAAATTTTTTTATAGGAATTTCTTTTTCAATTTGGAATATTTTCGTGAATTATGTATGTGTGAATTATATATCAAACTCCAAATTCCACATAAAAAAATTTTCATTATAAATATCGTAATAGAGAACAATTATCCTCTTGGATTTCTTTTTGACACAATCAATAATAGAATTAAGAGCAGCACTCGTAAAAAAGTGACGTGGGTTGACAATTCTGACAGTAGTAGAGATTCATCGATTATCCCATCATGGTTTACTGTGCCTTTCGCACCGAAATTAACAGAAAAATTCAAACAATTTAATAGGAATGACATCAGATTTCTTCTTTTCGTTCAAACAAACTACGGAAATGTATTAAAGTAGGCACATAAACTCTCTCTCTCTCTCTCTCTCTCTCTTATTTTTCAAAATCCAATGTAGTCTATAAGATCAGTTGCAATATTATTTCGTCTGCCGTGATAGACAATTTTAATTCTCTTCTCGCGATCGCTTTTAGTTCTTATACTAAAATTTTAATTTTTACACTTTAGATGTTATGCATATGTATACGAACTGTGATTTATGTTTTCATATAAAATGTCTTTCATTGGCGATTATTAGATACTTTATTGACATATGTATTACAACACTGGGCTGAGTTTTGCCAGAGAAACGTTTTTGTTTGCTATTTATATTCTTTTTCTCTTTCTTATATAAAAAATATTTTTTCTCACTAGAACGATGTGAAATTCTTCTCGATCAGTCATATTATATCTTCGATATATTCGTATTAAGATTTTTTCTTATAATCATTTTCACATCGGTCTTCCAAACAGTTATGTTGTGTCTAATAATTGTCATTTAAATTTCATTAAACCAAGCAGTTTAATGGAACCTGTACAACTACACAAAAATGGTCTAATTTTGACATTCATTAAACCTAACACTTTGATGAATAAGATTTGACTTGATTTGGACATTACTACTATAGTAATCGTATTCTTATGCGTTACCAATTTTGATGTTCTTAATTTTAAATTTTACTTATTTTTGTATTGAGAAGAACCTTAACCATAAGTCAAAACCATAGGTATATGTTTTTGTATGATTCCGAATAAATTGTTAAAAACATACACTTGTAACTATAGTGTTGGCTCATATATCGGCAATTTTTGTTTTTATTTTCTTAATTTATTCCACTGAGCCTTTTGATTATCTTAATTTTTTCTTATAATGTGTTCTAAAGAATTCACTTTTAAGGTGAAATACAAGTACTCTGTATACATAAAATACCGAATTAATAACATCACAATTTTTAACTCCTGATGAATTGTAACATTCAGATAAATACTATTATTACAATAAAAAATTGATTTTCGTGAAGTTGACGTCGCCTTTAAGAACATCTGGCGCCCAACCTTTCGCGATTTACGATTCTGTAGACGCGACCCCTATAGTTTCGTCCTGCCACACGCGCGCGAATAACATCATAATGTATAATATATGAGTATAATTTTTTCGAAAACCGACATTTAACCCTATAATCTCCGATATAGTTTTATATACTCTACGAAAGTGTTCTTTCTCGGAAAATACAACGATCCGTATCTTTTTGTTTTTCTTTAAAGAAAATCATCTAGTTGTAGTATTAATTTCTACAATTTCTTGATATTTTAAAAACATCAATCATTTATCGAATTTTTTTACTCTTAATAAATATTTAAAAAATGTAAAAGTAATCGCTTCTTATGTAAAAAATTTTCACAACTTTTCACTTTAAAAATAGTCTCCATTGATTTGAATTTCGGAAATTAATTTGAATTTCACGGTACGATACAATACAGTTATATACGTTCAAATTTTTAAATATTTACTATCGGGTAAAAAAAATTAGATAAAATTGATGTTTTTGAAATATCGAGAAATTGAAATTAGTACTACACCGTTAGACAGTTTGTTTTAAGGAAAAATAAAAAAATACGGGCTGTTGTAGGTATTTTCCTAAAGAACATTTTCGAGCGTAGTATACCTAAACAATTATACCGAAGGCTATATAGAGCAAAATATCATGTCGATTTCGGAAAGAATCACCTATTATACATATATTTTATATGTATATATATAACAGGACTTTCCGCGTGTGGTGTGTATGTATACGGTGTGGATGACAGGCGCTGCGATATCGATCCCACGCATATCCATGCGCTTTGGCTCAGTGTTCCGACGCCGGCATCCCTTGTGTTCTATTTGTTCCAGTATACGATTGTCGAAAGATATGATTTATCGTGAGTGTTCATATAATGATGTGTGCGATATACGCATGTGTATGTATGTGTGTGTGTATTCACGTATATATCCACGGCATAATATACTTGCACGCCAATATTTATTAAAATATTACATCAAGCGAATTTGAATCGCTAATAAGAACGTTGATTATTCACCAACAGTCAACAATGAGACAATTAGGCACGATAGATTGCAGCGTTTGTTTATCAATGTCTGTGAGTTGCCCCCGAAAAGGAAAAACAGCAATGAACAAGTTTTGTACAAGAATTGCTGAAAATGCTACTTTTATATATTAAGACTGATAAGCGAACAAAAATTTGTACAGTATACTGTGGACAAATAATTTTCAATGTAAGCTTTGACCTGTATACCTAAACCTAAATAATTAGAAGAGACTAAAATATAAGTACATTGTGTAACGCGAGTGGAGGCTAGTGTTTATGGCGCGACGGGCGCGAGCGCACGAGCGAAGCGAGTCCGTGTCGCGCTATAAACAATAAACCCCCACTCGTTACACATAGAATTTGTCATCACGCATACGCGTGATGAAAAATAAACTTTTACCATGATATACGTATATTATATACCCTATTTGAATGGGTAAAGATAATTCTGCAGATAAGTTTTCGTTTAATGTAATCAACAATAAATTATACATATTACACAAAAATCTTTCGTTAACATGTAATTGTAATTACGTATTTACGTACAACATAAAATTTTCTATATGTAAAAGAGAGAAATTATAATAGATTAGAAAAAAATCATAAATTATGCCGAATAAATGGGGAAAAGAGGTATACACATAAAGTTGATAAAGTTGACAAAATATATATCATATCTTTTGAAATGTGTTCTTCATTAATGATTATGGTTTGATTTTCAGTAACTTTACTTTCATAAGCGGAATTTGAAACTCGTCCGAATGTCATGTGGGACAAAGCAAATATGGCTGCTATGATCTTTCTACTAGGATGGTTACATGTTTTCACTTGGGCAAAAGGTATGTATTTCTGTTTACGTGTATAAGATTAAAAGAAATTAATCTAACAAGATAAACCGGTATTAATTAACAAAAGTAACAGGGAGCGAAAGTAACAATCCAAATATTTACAAATCTGTGACTGATACATATGTGTTTGATGAGTATGACGAACAAAGATAACTAAAATTACTTTTCCGGCGATCTATAAACACGCGATGTATTGTTTTAGAGAAAAAAGTATAAATTATTGTACTTTAAGAGTTTTATTGCATTATATTTTCCTTGAAAATAAAATAACTGTACTATAACATAAAATGCTGTGCTATAACCGACCCTATGTCGAGGGCGGTATATATGTGCCATTTTATCTCCATTTTTGGTTGATAATTTTGATCCGATATATCACGAGTATAAAATGTTATATTTCCCATAAAGTAAAATACTTACATTAGCAATAAATATTAACATCAGCTTTTCTATACTTATATTAGTTCTTTCATAATCGAACTCCATAGATAAATTGTTACTTTTGATCTCGCTCTAACTCTACCCTGTATATAAAATATGAAACAAAATATCTTTAGATATAGTATTCTTGAATATAAATAATGAATTGTTATTGTCAGTAAATAATGCTGAGATGACGTCAGTCGACATTGAAGCAGAAACTATTCTTGAACGAGCGGCCACATGGCTGTGGAATCAACGGGATAAGGATGCAAGTTGGGGTAATGACACACATCGAGTACTATTGGTTCTTCGTCTAGCCAATCTTTCCCGTGATGATAACGTTGCGCCTCCGGCGCCACTTGAATTGCAACTCATTGCTAAACAAATGGAACTAGAAATTGTGCTTTTGCTTTGGAGGTAAAAATTTATCATAATTGTTTTTATCTCTCATTGCTTATTGACAATTATTTTTATATAAAGATGTTTCCTTCATTTGATTTAAAAAAATAGATTCTGCTAAAATGTTCTATTATGCTTTATGGTTTTGTCATTATGCATAATGTAGTAACACCTCCGCTACATGCTTAGCCGACAGTTTTAGAAAAGCTGATAAAACTGAAAATGGCGACATAGGCACTATCAGTCCCCTCTGCGATTCTTTTAGGTCCGATTGTTCCATCTTTCGGTAAAGTTTACCTGTTAGGTAAATCTGGCAATCCGCGCACATGATTGGATAATCTTGCTACTTACCTAACAGGTAAACTTTACCAAAAGATGGAACAATCGGCCCTAAGAGAATGTCTTTCAACATTATTAAGATCGATATAAGATGCGCAAAAAGAGCGCATATCAAAAATTATTATTTAATTTAATTTGTGATATTATTGCGGTAGTTTAGTAGAGTTGCGTTTCAAGTCTGAAAAATTCGGTGCGCGATTAAGAATTTACATACATATATAAATTCACATGCAATTATATAGAAGTACCCGAGATCCAGCCTGACCATTACAGCATGTTTTCATGTTTTCATTGGTCTCACTTAGATAGTTTTTACTCGCTTATCAATACACATGCGCGCGTAATCAAAACATGCTAGTAATTAACAATTAGAAAACCTGTGTGTAACATTTATTTTTAATATAAATGTTAAAGAAAAATTATTAGGAAATAAAGTATGACTATATTTAAAATTTTTGGTATTTCTTTTATTTATAATTTATAATAGAGACACCTTTTTTCCACGTAATTAAAATACGGAATCAATATGGATACCATATACTTGTTCTCATTGAAAATGTATGCATTTCTTGAAAAATTAATTATGTTCAATACACCGGATATACATTTATTATATCAAACGCTCCTACATATGAATTGCTTGCTGCTGTTTACAGACATCGGGAGGTTGGATTTTCTCCGGGACAATTAGCACGTTATACTTTGGCTTTGAACGCAATGTGCATGGACCCGAGACAATTCCATGGTCACGATTTAATCGGTACATTGCAACATCATGAACCGCCAACTGATTACGATTTTGCGTTGACTACGCTCGCAGCATGCAGTGCGCAGGCACACGTACGCAAACGGCAAATGCGTCGTCTCTTAGATATTGCGAATGCCGCGCGAGACCATAATATTGGTAAGTGCCTCTTTATTGTTTCAAAATTCTCATATTGCCGAATGTAACAAATGTATTGAAAATAACAAATAAATTGATATAATCAAAGTGTCTATCAGAATTCGGTAAAATAACTGATACGACTTATTTAAAATATAAAATCGCAGAAGTCGGGAAAATAATTGATATGGCTTATTTGAAATAAAAAATATAAAACAGGTTCTAAAAACTTATTAAAAAAATTAAATCGCAGGAGTCGGGAAAATTGATATGGCTTATTTGAAAAAAATATATATATATATAAAATGCAGGTTCTAAAAACTTATTAAAAAAATTAAATCGCAGGAGTCGGGAAAATTGATATGGCTTATTTGAAAAAAATATATATATATATAAAATGCAGGTTCTAAAAACTTATTAAAAATATTAAATGAGGAATAGGACACAAGAAATTATATTTATATACAATTTAAAATAAGTAGAGCTCGAAAATGCATTTTATTTAATATTTAACATATAGAATAATTTTTATTTAAAATATGAAAATAACTTGTTTTTTTTACTTTAAATGAGAAATTGATTTCATTTATTAAAAATGATATGTGCAAGGTGTTTCTAAATTCCAACATACGAGTACAAGACTTGATATACTTTATGTTAAAAAAAAACAACTTTTTCTTTTAACAAAATTGCGTCCGGTAAGTAGTTTTTGCAGAAGAGTAGGTTGAAATTACGAGCGCTCAGGGTTGGCGCGAGCTCCTAACTCGCGTGTATCTTACCCTCAGCTATTATTCAAAAGTAAACATTTGAAGATGCAAATATGGCTTTGTTATAATTAGTTTACGACATCTTAAGACAGTCTTAAATAATTAAAATTAACTATAAGTACCGGATCTTGACCTTCTTCCATATCGTATTGCTCAAAATATGAGAAATTAACAAAATAAATATTGCTTTTGTTACTTACGTAATAAATGAATAAAAGAATTGTCTCTGATGCTGTAGCATCATCTGAAAATATAGATACATATGAATAGCAACATGCTTTACGAGCTGAGCATTTTAATTCTAAATATCACAAAGCATACGTAAAGGAATGTAAGGGATGCAAAGGATGCGTCTTATTACCTGCTCGGTTTTTCATGTGCGCATCTTTGTGTGTGTAAATAAATGGTGTGCAAATGAATTGTGCGCAATAAAACGTATTATAGTAACTGAAGTATAATTCATTTTTTCTATAAGTCTCTTAATTTCAGAATTTTATATAAAATTTTTTATTATACATTTTCATTTTATCCTAATTTTGCGTTTTGTTGAATTTTTATATGGGCAGTACATCTTTATTACTAAATAATATTTCTAGATACTATCGCAATGTTGATCTTGGCCCTGCGGTGTATCGTCCAAGATCATCGACATCGCAATCTTCATCACATTGTTCGTAAACCATCGATAGAGCTAGCGCAACAGCAAATGCACGACGGCAGTTTTGGTGATCTGCGGAACACTGTGTTGGTGATGCAAGCATTAGAAGAAATCGAAAATGAACCAGCTGATAACTGGAATAGATCCGCAGCTTTGGCTTGGCTGATCAATCAACAACGATCAGATGGTTCGTTTCATGGCAATATCCACACCACTGCAGAGGCCATGTTAGGTGTCGTGCCGCGTGGTCTGGCCAGCATCCGTGCCCTTGACTGCGGACAGGGTTTATTGGACAATTCACCACCTCACCTGACTACGAACAATAGTAAATCATCCATTACTATATTTTTGAAATATTTAAAATAAGCATTATTTAACTCTTTTTTGCTACAACTGAGCTGAAAAAGCGAAGCTGTGTATTGTGTTCTACGCACAGCTTAGCCACGACCATTCTTTTGATGAAACAAATGCAGATTTTTAAGCAGAGTTCACGGCCGCTACATATTTTTAATTAATTTTTTAATCTCCATGTCCAGCATGTCACTTTTTCTCCAAGTGCTGGACACGATCTTCTCAAGGTCACCATTTTTTCCACTATGAAGCAGTAAAATTTTGGTCTGAAATATTTTTAAAGAAAATTTTCGTTCTAAAAATATTCGTGTGTATTTATTAAGATTTACCCTGTATAGCGGCGCACAACATAGGTTTAACTATTTAAAATAATGTTTAAATTAACGGATATATTAATAAAAACATTTTTATTTTAAAGCAAGTATTGCTTTTGCTTAAATTTTGTCACTCGTCAATACATTTTCTACCGCAGAATGATTCTTTAAACTTATATGTTGTAGATATTGGAACACCGGACAATCATAGCGAAATTCCTCTACCATCAGAAACGTCAGGAAATAATGCAAGCAGTACAGACATAACGCTTACCACCACGCCTCTGCCTGTAAACGTGTCCTATACATTGTGGGTCGGCAGCAATGTAAACGAAACGTACAATCTAATTGTGACTGTGCCCAAAAACGAAACTTTCTACAGTGTGATGCTGTTGGCAGCAAGCATGTCTCCCCATTTCCAATTTACTGCTTCCGAGTGGCCTAACGGTCATTACGTTCACACGCTGGCTGGCTACAAAGAGGAACCAATGTCCTATCATTACTGGCTACTTTACAGATTATCCTCACCACCGGAACCATCCTCACCGCCCGGAAATCAATTAGTTGCACCTGGAGGTAAATGTGATTAATCCGTATTATTGGCTAAATAGATACAGCGTCCTTTTCAAGCGTTTGTGAAATTATTACAATTGAAATTCACACTTCACACGTAACACAGAAATATTTATTTACAGAAATTTATTTGAAGAAAAAGATTTCATTAAATATTATGTAGCAACATACCTATAAATATTATATATGTATTTACTTATTTATTCATAATTAATTTATATTTACTAATTTTAATCATTTCTTTATATTTACAGGTGTAGATAATTTGCAGATTAGCGAAGGAGAGCACTATCTCTTCTGGTACAAGAAGCTATGAAGTATGAATGAACGGCAAAATCCCTTCAGCATAATGTTAGCAGAATATCAACAGACTGGCAGCAAATTTAATCAGTACATGTCAACAGAATGACATGTCACACATTCAGTTTATATTTTATCGACAGAATTTGCTTATATCAGGCAGCAGATTAGCAGCAGAAATTAATATAACCTGACGGCACATTAATGGCAAACATTAATCAATCTCTGCGCACTGCTATCTGATAATAGATTGGCAGCAAATATCAAGCAGAAACTGTTGTTTTGCTTTTTAAATCGTAATGTTAATAATGATAAACCTCTGAAAAAAAGTTTTTGTTTTATTTTTATTTTAAGGAAGTATAAATTTTATCTATTTTACGTAATATATAACAAAAATTAATTTATTTTACATTAAATTATAAGGTATTTTAGATATTTTTAAGATAAGTCGTATCTTTATTCACTGTAACAACACCAATAACCACTTTCTAAGTACACATGATAATTTTCTTTATCAAAAACGAATCATTTTTTGTCCTAAGTATACGTCTAAGTATAGTCTATTTCTTAGTGCGAAACCTATTAGGTTTTTTAGGAAACCAATTAGGTTTCTATCTATAATCTGTTAGATCAGATTAGCAGGTTCTCTGCTTGGTTTTTGTTGTCAACTCTGACAATGGATGCATTCAATCCTAAAATCGTTCACTGAAAGGGTGTGTTTGGAGAGACAGTATTAGCACTATTTGCGTCATTCTATTTTTGTTGTTCTTTAGAAAAGTAGAATAGAATGACACAACCAGCGCTAATAATAATAGGTCTACTTTTTATTTCTGCACTGTTTGAACTGGTACACTGGTACAGTGCAATAATTAAAGTAAAACAAACGTATATTTATTTCACTTCAACTTATTACACCAGCATGTGCATCAGTTTATAGAGTGCGGGAAATAGATTTAAAGTTTTCTCGAACGCACTTTAAGCGCTCAATGTGTGGTTGCAATAATGAATGTCTTCAATGCATGTCTAACAGACGTCTTGAAAATTATCTTTCTCATAAGACATTTCTTGGAGTTTATACATCCATACAACATGTGTTATGTGAAAACAGTTATTTACATCATCGACTCTAACACATTTATCGATTAATATATATATGACATGGCAAATCTATAAAAATTCGTTGTCAGCTTCGCACTTCAATGTTTCATGTTATTCACAAGGTGAAAACCAAAAGTGATAGGGTAAATCGCATGTAAATTTATATACCATGTATGTAGATTTTAAATTGCGCACCGAATTTTTTTCAGACTTAAAACGCAAGCTCTAAATTATCGCAGTAATATCACGAGTTAAATTGAATAATTTAACAATTTTTGGTACTTTTTGAGCATCTTAGATCGATCTTAATAATTTTAATAATCGATCTGATTAACGAGCCATCAAAGAGTAGAGGTGTCTCAAACAAGGACTAATGCAAAGTTGGTAGTATTTTTTTTATCAGAGATTCGCTGATTAGCTAATTTTTTTTATATATACGTCGTGCCTGAATCGGTCAAAATCACAAAATTTTAAATATTTTTTTTATCACTGCAACGGTTCTTTTTATACATAGATTGGCAAACTAAAAAAAACATGTTTTGTATGAAATAAAGCTGCTACGATTTAATAGTTTCGTAAAGTTTAATGCGAACTTTCGAGCGATGAATATTTTTTGGTGGTCTTATCCTCTATATTTAATTCTGGAAAAGAATGTTCATGTATGTAAAGAAGGAAAAAAATTGTAACATAAATATTGTTACGTTTAGTTGATAAAGCAAACAGTTTTAGAGTCTCCTTAAAAGCAAAGCATGATTATACATACAGAGAGAGAGAGAGAGAGAGAGAGAAGAAAAAATTAGTGAGTGAGTAACAGAATAAGTAGATGAGTGAACAAATAAGCGAATAACTAAATAAGTAAATAATTGACTCAACAAGGGATAGAGAAAAAAAGAAAGAAAGGGAGGAAGAGAGTAGAGAGAGAAAGAGGACAGTGAGAATGAAAATAACACAGAAATGTGAGTAAATGAATGAGAAAAAAAGATATAAGGGAAAAAGAGCGAGGAAAGGAAGAAAAAGGAGGGGGAGGGAGGGAGGGAGGGGGGAGAGTGAGAGAGAGAGAAATCTCGCAATTCTAAAACGAGGTTTTAATATCCACTGCCATCGCTATTATCGACATTTTTGAAAAAGAAAAGATATTGTGTTACTATGAAAAAGGAGTATTAAATGAAAAAGAACATAGATATAAATACGTATATGTACACTCAACTGGCTTTTGAAATTTTGTTTGATGACTGACTTGAAGAACCTGATTGAAAATGAAACACAGATCGCCATCAAGTCAACATCAAGACACATTCATATTTACAGAAGAAATATAAAATAACCCGTATTTATTAACACATGTTGCCGAGATTAGTGTTAAAAAACTGAATAATAAATTTATAACTTACAATATTTGAATTAGAGTAAAACATGTTCTTTAGATACGTTTGATGATTATAATATAATAATGATGTATTAACGTATATAAAAAGTGAAATTAGCTGTATTTAAAGGAATGCACAAACATTTTAATTGCCAGTGTATATATATATATATATCGAAAATTGTATTTGTTTGTCGCATATTATCGTACGTACAGTTTTAAATAGGTTTAGACTCTTTAGAGTTTCTTAATAATGCTTTTAAAGCTTGTACGAGTTAATATCTTCAAAGATATCTGTAGAAAGTTTGTGGGTTATCGCTATGTTCAATATCAGTTCTTCACTCTGATAATGTAAACGGCAAAATGGTTAAAAAAATGTTAGCATTAGTAATGGATAAAAAACACGGCGATAATCCGTAAATCTTCTGGAATTTTTGAGTGCCTTCCAACAATTGACACAGATGACACGGTATAACATAGTGTATCAGTACACTCTTGTTGTTCGCCAATGTTAAACAAGGATGAGATGATCACTGTGTTGTAATGTGTCGCTTGTTGGAAGGCACACTTTGTGATTTGGACTCGTATAAAACTAAAAGTCCGTACGGCATTCTTCTATTGAAGTTATGAAACGATGTTTTTTATATATATATGAAATCGCAATATACAAGCATACTGTATTTAACATAATTAATTCATATTTAATAAAACTGAATAGCCGTATTCATATTAGCAACAAATATCCGCTCCCGATATTTGCGTCACAAATTGTAACGTTTTAATTTAGTAAATATTGTTATAATTGAAGAAAATGAACGACGAATAAATAAATAAGTAAATATAAAGTAATTAAAGTAAAAAAATAAGTAAAAAAGAATTTACCTTATTATCGCAATTTATTTAATAAAACAAAAAAAATAAGAACGTATCATAAACGCCATATTTTCGTTTTAAACACAATAGATACGTATATATTGCCTATTAAGCATCTAATGTCGAATGCGTTGTACAATTTTGTTCTTTGTCAAAATAAAGAGAAATTAATAATATTCGCAGATTTAAACAATATATTGTATGTTTGTTTTTCATATTCATCTGATATTAAATCTTTTATCATCTTATTTGTTCGAACAAATGTTTAATAGAATTTGTGAATCATCAAAAAAATTCTTGATCGTTATTAACTTCTTGAACATCTAACATTTTCTTTGTCATTACAGAGATCCTAAAGTGAAAAAAAGATAACGTATACAAATAAAAGTTAAGTGTAACTCCACGGTCCCTGCATCTATTGGACATGAAATCTTATGTTCTTCGAGAACCCCATTGCTCCTCTATCCCCCCACAGAAATAGAATCGATTGTATTAAATTATGGGCAGTAAAATAAGAAAAAAAAACCAGTTTAAATAATAGCTAAATAACAATTATTTTCATCATTTTATTTTTAAATATAAAAATATATAATTCATCTTTTAAGATAATAAATAAGAATATATTTTATAAATATTTACTGATATAAATAATAAAGTAAGATATTAGATAGCAACATGACCAGATTATGATTTCCGATCAATACCATGATCAATACTGTTCTGCCCAAGCTGGAAACTCATCAATGCCATAAATAAAGGCTCCCCAAGTAGGGAATAGGATAATTTGCACTATTAAACTGTACATTGCGGGAAAACATCCGACCGCTATTAGTATTTGAGTTTGTAAATGTCCTGCGACAGTTATAATTGCATTTGGCGGCGTTGCGACTGGCATTCTAAATGCGTATGAGCACATCAGAGTCACTGGCATCATCATATATAACGGATGTATTTTCATTGCCACACACTTTGAGAAACAAATAAAAATGAACAATATTTGCAATTTTGACAACAAAATACTTAAAATAATAAAATAATTGTAAAAATCACGTTTTAAAAGATTATTTTATCGATTGTTGAGCGATAACACAAAATTCTGATGTAAAAAGGTAGAACGTAACCAAATTTGTAAGCTATAAAAATGAACAAAAAGTAAACATGTTTGAAAAATGATAAAGATACTATTACAAAATGTTTTTTTAATTTGCAAAATAATTTCTCCTAAAATTGTTAATATTAACAATTTGTAGATACTGTTATGATATATTTTATCATTAGACAAATTCTTACCATATGGGCGACGACAGGCAAAATTATATTAGCTGTACCAACGTTTGAAGTAAATTCTGTCAGTGTATTAACGAATAAAAGAACAACGGCCATCATCAGCACTGGAGGCAATTCTTTTAAAGGCACTAAAGCTAATCCTATCTTCATGGCAAGTCCTGAGACACTACTGCCTTTTGAGACAGCAAAACCGCTACCTAATAGAAATACCAATCTCCACGGCATTTTTGTCTGAATGATCTGCCAAGTAATCAAACCCTCGGATGATTTGGCCGGTCGTTTGGACGCTGCGTGATCGTATAAAGTTTCATGAGTACTAAAGTTAGGTTTAAAGTAAAAAAGAAAGGCGAATTAAGTAGCAAGCCACTTCTCGATTATTTTTTAGAAGAAAGAGTCAGTAACTTGCTGCTTATTCGTGTTCACGTCCATACTTGATTTCGTAATTGTTAAATGCTCTTACAGTCTTTGCTGTAAAAGTGTAAAAAAGTCGGCTCTTTTGGGATGAAAAACATTAACAGGCATACAAAGACTGCGGGCGTCGAATCCGCCAACATTCTATATAAAGATTATGTTAGAAATGAAATAACATTTTATTAAAACGAAACATAGTTGTTTTAACATAACTAAT